GTTGCTGTGTGTGTCTGGGTGCTGTGTGTGTCTGAGGGTGCTGTGTGAGAGTGTGAAGTTATTTATTTAAACGTTATATATTTTTTTATTAATAATTTTTAAAAAGTTATATCCCCCGTTCTGCCATGAGGGGGGCCATGCTGCTATCCTTCCCTGGTGATCCAGTGGTGAGAGTGAACTCTAGCCTGCAGGCTAGAGTTCACTCTCGCGAGATCTGAGCGTTGCCGTGGTAACTGCGGCAACACCCACGAGAGGACCCGGCGGAGCTGCTGGTTAGAGCTCCATCGGGTCCTCTCCTCCCTCTCTCACTCCCTCCCCAGCCTGCGGCCGCCTTTAACAGTGCCTGTGGGCCGGTGAGGGAGATCTTTGATCTCCCCACCGGCCCATGGAGGCACACAGCAGGGCTGGCGCTGGGGCTGGCAGGGGCTGGCAGGGGAGATCCTGTGATCTCCCTGCCGGTCTCGGCCCCACGGCCATCGCGGCCCACCGGGCATTTGCCCGGTATGCCCGATGGCCAGTCTGGGCCTGATTGTGTGTGTATATTTCAAGGAACACTATAGTCACCTAAATTACCTTAGCTAAATAAAGCAGTTTTAGTGTCTAGATCATTTCCCTGCAATTTCACTACTCAATTCACTGTCATTTAGGAATTAAATCACTTTGTTTCTGTTTATGCAGCCCTAGCCACACCTCCCCTGGCTATGATTGACAGAGCCTGCATGAAAAAAAAAACTGGTTTCACTTTCAAACATATGTAGTTTACCTTAAATAATTGTATCTCAATCTCTAAATTTAACTTTAATCACATACAGGAGGCTCTTGCAGGGTCTAGCAAGCTATTAACATAGCAGGGGATAAGAAAATCTTAATTAAACAGAATTTGCAATAAAGAAAGCCTAAATAGGGCTCTCTTTACAGGAAGTGTTTATGGAAGGCTGTGCAAGTCACATGCAGGGAGGTGTGACTAGGGTTCATAAACAAAGGGATTTAACTTCTAAATGGCAGAGGATTGAGCAGTGAGGCTGCAGGGGCATGTTCTATACACCAAAACTGCTTCATTAAGCTAAAGTTGTTCAGGTGACTATAGTGTCCCTTTCAGTAAGAGCGTGTGTATGTGTGTTAGTAAGAGTGTGTAAGTGACATTGTGTGTATACTTCATTAGATGTGTGTTAGAGTGTGTAAATGACTGTGTGTGTGTGTGTATACTTCAGTAGGTGTGTCCTAGAGTATGTAAGGGACATTGTGTGTGTGTGTATTCTTCAGTAGGTGTGTTAGAGTGTGTATGTATAGGTCAGTAGGTTTGTGTTAGTGAGAGTGTGTAAGTGACATTGTGTGTGTATACTTCAGTAGGTGTGTTAGTGAGAATGTGTATACGTTAGTGTTTGTGTTAGTGAAAGTGTGTGACATTGTGTGTGTGTATACGTAAGTTTGTGTTAGTGAGAGTGTGTAAGTGACCATGTGACCAATGATATTTATAATACATATTAGTATCAGGGCTCGAGTCCTGCAGGAACGCATGGGAACGGCGTTCCCGCACTTTTTCCATAGCAGGAACGCCGTTCCCGCTAGTGATCCTGCAGGACCGGCCCTGCTACCTGCACTGAGGGGCCATCACACGCTGTGTTCTCCCTCCAGCTCTAACTCTCGCGAGACCCGCGGCTGTTACCATGGCAACGCTCCGCACAGGCGAGTCTCGCGAGAGTTAGAGCTGGAGAGGGAACACAGCGTGTGATGGCCCCTCTGTGCAGCGGCTGGTTCCCTCCAGCATACCACCGGACCACCAGGCGATCTCCCCCCTCCCTGACAAGGTAAGAAGCAGGGAGGGGGGATAAAATAAAAAAATATACATACACATAAAGTAAAAAAAAAATGCTTCCCCTCCCCATCATCCAGCACACATACACTCACACACCCATCATCCAGCACTCACACACACACATCATCCAGCACTCACACACACATCATCCAGCACTCACACACACATCATCCAGCACTCACACACATCATCCAGCACTCACACAAACACCCATCATCCAGCACACACACCCATCATCCAGCACACACACACCCATCATCTAGCACTCACACACACCCATCATCCAGCACACACACACCCACTCATCCAGCACTCACACACCCATCATCCAGCACCTCACACACCCATCATCCAGCACCACACACACTCCATCATCCAGCACCCACACACCCATCATCCAGCACACACACACACACATCATCCAGCACACACACACACACATCATCCATCACTCACACACCCATCATCCAGCACACCCACACACCCATCATCCAGCACCCACACACCCATCATCCAGCACACACACACCCATCATCCAGCACTCACTCACACATCATCCAGCACTCACACACACACATCATCCAGCACTCACACACATCATCCAGCACTCACACACACATCATCCAGCACACACATCATCCAGCACACACATCATCCAGCACTCACACACACATCATCCAGCACTCACATCATCCAGCACACACATCATCCAGCACTCACACGCACACTTCATCCGGCACTCACACACACATCATCCAGCACACACACACACATCATCCAGCACTCACACACACATCATCATCCAGCACTCACACACACATCATCATCCAGCACTCACACACACGTCATCCAGTGAGCACACACACGTCATCCAGCGAGCACACACATCATCCAGCACACGCACACACTGCATTCATTATACACACTCTTCACTCACTACAAACACACTACATTCACTATACACCCTCTGCATTCACTATACACATTCTGCATTTATTATGCACATTCTGCACTCACTACACACTACATTCACTATACACACTCTGCATTCACTACAAACACACTACATACACTGCATTCAGTGTACACACTCTGCACTCACTAAAAACACACTGCATTCATTATACACACTCTGCATTCACTATATGCATAGGAGTGTAATTTTTTTAAAGGGGGGGCGGGGCGGGAATCTTGGGTGAGTTCCCACACTTTTTTCCCCAGGACTTGACCCCTGGGTAGAAAGTATGTTTTAACTGTATGTATAATTGAGTTTCCTCTCAGGATAAGGGGAGGGAATATGTGGGATGTAACTGTGATGTGATTGGTTGTTTTGTAACGCCCTGTGGGCTGTACTATGTTTTGTGGATTGTAATAAAAACCAGGCTGGGTGTGCCAGCACTGGAGATTCTGCTTAACCCTCAAAACGAAGTGTCGTCTCGTTATTGGGGGAATTGGATTGTGTGCTGACTGCCAGGAGTGTAAGCCGTTCGTATTGCTTTTCCTGTTCGGCTGCTTCCAGAGTTCGTGTATTTCTTGTTCGTGAGTTGGGGATTCGTACAGTTTGGAGTTCGGGAGGTTGGTGATTGCAATAGCTGCTGGTCTATGGGAAAGGGGATTATCGCCTAAACGGATTTATCCCCGTTTGAGAGAAACGGTCCGTTACACTTTGTGTCTTTAGTTAATAGGAATCTCCGAATGTTTGGCAGCTATTTATTACCATAAGTTACATTTGTATCTAACATTTATTGTTGTATATAAGCGCTGGTTCCATTGTCTATACCTATAGTTTTAGTGTATAGATCTTTCCCCTGCAATTTCACTGCTCAATTCACTGTCATTTAGGAGTTAAATCACTTTGTTTCTGTTTATGCAGCCCTAGCCACACCTCCCCTGGCTATGACTGGCAGAGACTGCATGAAAAAAAAACTGGTTTCACTTTCAAACAGATGTAATTTACCTTAAATAATTGTATCTCAATCTCTAAATTGAACTTTAATCACATTGCAGGGTCTAGCAAGCTATTAACATAGCAGGGGACAAGAAAATCTTAATTAAACAGAACTTGCAATAAAGAAAGCCTAAATAGGGCTCTCTTTACAGGAAGTGTTTATGGAAGGCTGTGCAAGTCACATGCAGGGAGGTGTGACTAGGGTTCATAAACAAAGGGATTTAACTCCTAAATGGGCTGCAGGGGCATGTTCTATCCACCAAAACGGCTTCATTAAGCTAAAGTTGTTCAGGTGACTATAGTGTCCCTTTAAAGTTAGGGGCATGGTAAAGTTTGAGTTACTGTTGGGATAGGGTTAGGATTAGCTATATGTTTAGGGTATGTAGGGTTAGTGTTAGGGTAAGGTGAGGGTTAATGCTGGGTTTAAGTCACTGCAGTTATAAGGTTAGGGTTAGGATAGGTATAGGGTTAGTGTTAGTGTAAGCATAGGGTAAGAGGTATAGTTGGTATAGCTTTAGGGTTAGCGTGAACTACTAAAAATTAATTTAGATCTATGGTATGATTGCTATAGCATTAGGGTTAGCGTTAACCACCAAAAATGTATTTAGATCCTATATATATTGGTCATTTAATAATCAGGACTGATATGTGAACATATTTTGAGTTATTCTTATTTAGTTGCACTGGATGTATAAACATTTTTTATTAGTTAAATATCTGACAAATCTTTGGTCACCCTACTACCTTGATCATGCACATATCAGTGGCCACAAAAATGCTGGTGTCTCCCACGGTTCCTCCGGTTAAAGAACAGCTCAATGTCCAATAAAAAAGCTGAGCTGAGGTTGAGGTTAATAGAAAACCTATAGATGGTAACTATTCCCCCTGACGATATCACTGTACTTAATTTTTTAATTTAAAGTTTCCCTCCATTTTTAACATTTTATTCACACTTATTGTTGTGTTAGGTATACATATAGGACATTAAAAGAAAGCCCTTTCCGTCCTTTAAAAAACAATATATAGTATGTATAGGGACACTAAAAGGAACACTATAGTGTTAGAAGTACAAACATGTATTCCTAATGCTGTAGTCCTAAAATACTCCCCTGTGGAGTTAAAGTATGGTAAACATACCTTTCTCTCCGCAGCTGCCCCCGCCTCCATGGCTAAAATTATCAATTTTGACCATTTCAGCCAATCCATTGCTTCACCATACTAAATCATTGGGAGGCTGAAGCACATGCAGCGCAAATCAGCATCTTATAATAGAGATGCATTGAATCAATGCATCTCTGTGGGGAGTTTTCAGCATCTCCGTGTGGAGCGTGGAGACATTGAATGACAGTAATTTACACACGGTGTAGTACTGGACTATGAACTTACTCTAGTGGCCATCTGAGTGACAGCCACTAGAGGTGTCCCTAGGCACCAATGTAAGCACTACCTTTTCTCTGTCATGGAAAAGACTGCAGGGTCAGACTATAGACACCAGAACCACTGTATTAAGCTGTAGTGGTTTTGGTGACTATAGTGTCCCTTTCAAGAGAAACCCTTAAATTACAGTCCAACAAACACATAGTGCAAATTCAAGATTTTGTTTTGGTTCAAAACTTAGACAATGACCTCCATCATAACCCCTTAACACCGCAGGGCGTACTATGCCACTTTGCGGCAAACCCTCCCGCGCCGCCATACTTACCTGGTGGAGCGATCGGTCGTGCTCAACTTCGGAGGACTGTCTGACAACCCAGACAGTCCCCTTGCGGCCAATCACATGTCCATCCAGGCAGCTGCCTCCAGGGGGACTGCCTAGGTCTATTTTCTGGTTTTGGCAAGTAATCTATATATTGGTTTGAGCAAGTAAACTTTATACAGGTTTCCATTCTGAAAAACATAGTATCAAAAATGGTTCTTAAAAATCCACAATACACTTAAAGGAACATACAATTGTGTATTTCTAATGCTGTAGTGCCCTATTCACCATTTAGGTGACCAGGCCTCTGCTGCCAGGGTAAAAAAGGTGCGTTTTACTTACCTTTTTTCCCTGTCAGCACTGGTCTCTGGAGTTACACTCAGCCTCTTTGGCTGAGAATATCGAGAGATATATATATATATAGGAAAGCACTGGGAGGCTAGTGCACATGAGCAGCAAAGTGTGATGCTCAGATGCTGCACCTATCAGATGATTGAACTAGTGGAGTTTTACTCCACTATTTTTGCCGAAGCGCCTCTAGTGGCTGTCTGGAATATAGCCTCTAGAGGCAGGTTGACACTGCAATGAAAACATTGCTGTTTCTGCAGAGCAGCAACAGTTTCAGATGCAGGGTTAAAATGGCACCACTTCATTGAGTCCCTTTAACAGGCAACACAATAAATGGGTAAGTGATTTACAGAGTGGTTTGTCTCCCAGAAAGGTGGAATGAAGCTAAAAATAAAACCACCAATGTGTATAGCATAGAAATATATGTATAAAACACAATGAGTAATGTTTTTATAAATCAATTTAAGAGAAACATTTTAAAAGACGATAATTCACTAGGGATGTCAAAGCAATTTCCCTACTGATTACTTTGCTTTTAGTACTTTGCCCCACAAAAAAACTTTTTACATCTTTAAAGTCCCAGTAACCACTAATCAACTCAATGTTTAAATATTGAATCTCATTCACGGAAAAAAAAATATAACCCTTTCTCTATATTTCATGTATTTAAAACATATTTTTTTTTTTACTGGGCCCAGATAGGCTACAGCTAGTTAAGTGAACTATAGGTTTCATAGCCTTAATACAAAATATTAATAAAATACTGTAGAGAAAATACACAAATACTGTACAACTGAACACCCTAATTAAAAATTATATAGTTACACCTGCCAAACAATTGTGGCTTTTTTTTTCTTAAGCAGTTGAGCCAAGCTATTTTTTACAATATTCTTTTATAAGCATGATTTTAAATGAACACTATAGCTTTAGGAATACAAATATGTATTCATGATGCTATAGTTCTGATGTAGCATTTTAATGTGACCAGCCCCGCTCCGATCGCGTTGAAAAGGTGACTATACTCACCTTTTCTCCCATGTCGTGACTAGCCCTGTCTGGCTCTGCCTTCGAGGCTGAGCTCATCAATCGTGATGCTTTCCTATAGAAACACATTGGTAGACTATTGGGCATGCGCTGCAAAATGCCACACAGCGCCAGTTATTTTAATATATCTCTATGGTGAACGTTCAGCTGAATGCCGGTGCTGGACTAGGAGGAGTGACTGCCACTAGAGGTGTTCTGAAGCACAAATGTTAAACTGTAGTGGGTCTGGTGACGTTTGTCCCTTTAATTGCATAAATTAGTTTGCATTGACACAAAAACTGAGATTAAAGTGTACTTTAGTTCGTAATTTTTAAACCTCAGTTTTTTTACTTATTCATATTTGTATATTTTGGGTCTGTTTTTTTTCTGCTCATCTAAAAACTGCTTCACAATGGTTTGACTTCTTACCTGGGTTTGCCATGTGCTGTTTCTTGCCTCTCAGAGAGCAGTAAGCGATGCCGCCAGCTCCCTCTGCATCCACCACACACACACACACATACATACATACATACATACAAACTATACAAACACATGCACATAATGCATTCACTACTCACACTGCATCCCCTACACAGACACTACATTCACTACACACACTGCATAAAATAATGGATGTGCGCATGTTTTTGGTGAGGAGAGGGCAGCATTTTATCCTTGGACCCAGGCAGCACAATGTCTTGGGGGCACCAGTGCACTGCTGGCACTGTAGCCACTATAGCACGTTGCCGTGGTAATGTTGCTTGAAGTGTTCTTTTAACAAATAATTTGTTGTACAGATTTTGATTTTACAAATATTTACATCTCATTTAACAATAATAGCAATATTTGTAACTGTAGCTGGAGTGATATTCAATGGTTAAGTGAAAGTTATTAGTAAATGTAATAAAACAAGTTTGAAAACACTAGATAATTAAACTCCTCAATTGAGTTGCAATGGGTTATTCACAAAAGTATTAGTAGAATTCAATTAAATTCAAAGTGAATGTACAATTTTAGGCCAATGTAGCTGAACTGAAAGCATAGCTGATTTAAATATTTTTCTAATTCAGCTACTTTGGCATTAAAGGAACACTATAGGGTCAGGAACGCAAACATGTATTCCTGACCCTATAGTCTTAAAACCACCATTTGCATGGCTTGCCCCCTCCTCCCTCCCTCTTTAGCACCCTTAAAAGGTAAGAAAATGTACCTTGTACCTTATTCCCAAGCCTGACAAGTCCGTCAGCGCTAGCCATGCCCCTGATCTACCTCTTTGCTGACATCATTAGGATTTAGGATTTCAGCCAATCCATTGTTTTCCCATAGGGAAAGAATTGGATTGGTTGAAATAAGCAAGGAGTAAGGATTGGGGTTTGGGGCTAAACACGGGTTTGGCCAATCAGCACCTCCTCGTAGAGATTCATTGAATCAATGCATCTCTATGAGCAAAGTTCAGTGTCTCCATGCAGAGCATGCTCACTGTGCAGCACTGCTCCAGGAAGCACATCCAGTGGCCACTGGAGGTGTCCCTATTGGGCAATGTAAATGCATGAAAATGCCTGCAGATAACGATTATACTCACCAGAACAAATACATTAAGCTGTAGTTGTTCTGGTGACTATAATGTCCCATTAAATTTTAAATTCACTGACTAGCCCTGACAGTCTAGAGGGAAAAGGGTATACTAACACAAATGGGAAAAGTTCAGTATATTCAAAAGGAAAGCTGTATTGCTACGTACATACATACATACACCTTTCCTCTGTCCCAGACTGTATAACAGGAGCTTCAGCCTGTTAGTAAGAAGGTAAGGAGAGGAGTGAACAAGTGAGTGCTAGGTGACAGTCCCTTAAAAGTGTGGATCGCGTACATCATTAGACACATTAATGACATTCTCAGGGTCCTATCTACATAGTACAGCCTGCATGATTGGTAATTCTTCCGGCAGATAGGCCCCATTTTTGGGCATGTCCACCCCTGTGGGCGGTTCTGGTTGCATGACTCGCATGAGTGGCCCATCCTGCTTCACCAGACACTGCTGGTGCTGATTTACATGAAAGATGAAAGCGAGGGATTAGCAAAGGGTATGTGTTTTCTTATAGCTGCACCTTCTGAGTTTCCCTTCAGCACCACTGCCAGAAACATGACACTAGGGAGGTGTGACTGTTTTAGTGCTTTCTGTCAATTAGAATCTGTAATTACGCCCATCATAACTGTCAGCACCAAGTCCAATGGTCTCTTAGTGGGACCTACATGTATGAGACAGGTTTAGTTTGAAAAGCACTCAAATTAATATTTATTCAAATTGTTAATTGTATATTAATAATGAATGCCTTATTGGTTTCCTTTTATTTATTTATTTTTCTCTAAAGCAGGGGTTCCTCCTGTGCTCCCATCTTCACAGTTTGTCTGGCTGAGGAAATACTGGCAAAGAAGTCTTCCTAATCTGAACAGTTTCTTCACAAGTAGCATGAACCGGATTGAGGATCCAGAACAAAATCACATGGATATCAAATCTGAGTCAGGTGTGTCAGATAAGAGAATTTACAGGGTTATTACTAAAGTGAGAATTCAAAGTAGATTCTAAGAGATTGTCAGGGGGTACAGGCATTACTCCAGTAAGGGGCCTGCTCTAGCCAGGAAGCATACAAGCAAGGGTCTTGTTGGGTAGACAGAAATATTTTCCCACCTGGACTGTATTGAAGATATACTAAAGAGTAGGCTTCTTACTTGCAAAGACTGCTGGTCAAATGTGACGTCGGTGTCTGGTAGTGTGTGAGTGTGAATGCAGAGTACAAGGGTGTGTGGGGCAGTACCTATAGAAACATAGATATAGAATGTGACGGCAGATAACCATTCGGCCCATCTAGTCTGCCCAATTTTCTAAATACTTTCATTAGTCCCTGGCCTTATCTTATATCTAGGATAGCCTTATGCCTATCCCACGCATGCTTAAACTCCTGTTAACCTCTACCACTTCAGCTGGAAGGCTATTCCATGCATCCACTACCCTCTCAGTAAAGTAATACTTCCTTATATTATTTTTAAACCTTCGCCCCTCTAATTTAAGACAATGTCCTTTTGTTGTGGTAGTTTTCTTCTTTTAATTATAGTCTCCTCCTTTACTGTGTTGATTCCCTTTATGTATTTAAATGTTTCTATCATATCCCCCATCACGTATTTACCTCCAAGCTATACATGTTAAGTTCCTTTAACCTTTCCTGGTAAGTTTTTTTTCCTGCAATCCATTAACCAGTTTAGTAGCCCTTCTCTGAACTCTCTCTAAAGTATCAATATCCTTCTGAAGATACGGTCTTACAATACAATACTCCAAGTGAGGTCTCACCAGTATTCTGTACAATGGCATGAGCACTTCCCTCTTTCTACTGCTAATACCTCTATCTATACAACCAAGCATTCTGCTAGCATTTCCTGCTGCTCTATTACATTGTCTGCCTACCTTTAAGTCATCAGAAATAATCACCCCTAAATCCCTTTCCTCGGATGTTGAAGTTAGGACTCTATCAGATATTCTGTACTCAGCTCTTGGGTTTTTTATATCTAAGATGCATTACCTTGCACTTATTCACATTAAATGTCAGCTGCCACAACTCTGACCATTTTTCTTGTTTACCTAAATCATTTGCCATTTGGCTTATCCCTCCTGGAACATCACCTACACTGTTAGCTATCTAGGTGTAGGTCAGTGGGTATATGCATGTGTTTATCTGTCTAGGATACATATGTATATCTGTTTGTACCTGGTAATGTGAATTGGTGTATGCATGTGTGGAAGTGTGTTTGGGAATGTCTGTGTCTCTGTGAGTATTCGTGAGTGCTTGTGTACACAAGACTGGGAGAGGACAGCTGGGGGGCAGTAATTTTGTGAAAGACAGAAAGGAACAGAGACATATGTATAGTGAGACAGATAAGACAATACTGAAAAGATACACTTGATTAAAGTAAAGATACTGGCAGAAGAAGAAACTAGAGAAAGGTGAGAAGACATGTGGAATGCATTAGGGACTGCAAACTGGATTTTTGCCTTAGACAGTAAAATTGTGGAACCACCCCTGATAATTTGTGTTACAGTCTCTATTACATTTTAAGATTAAATTTAAAATAAATAAATAAATTATATATATATATATATATATATATATATATATATATATATATATATATATATATATATATATATATATATATATATATATATGTATATGTATCAGTCTATAAATTTGGCATTGGGTATGGAACATACATTGCTCCCGCTTGTGCACACATTTGAGGTAAACACAAACTATGTTCTTTTAACAATAAAAAGTGCAAATGTGTAAACACAGCTGCCTAACTGACACGGTGCCAGTATTGCAGCCCCAAATGTATGCAATTAGAAGAATTAGAAGACGGCATTATTTTGAGCAACTAGAGACTTTTGTTTAATGAAAAATCTAATGATAGTAAATTTACTGTATTCCAACTAAATTCTCCTAAACTGATTGTTAACTCCACTCATAATGCTTGCATCAACTTAAGTTTCACTACTGACAAAGTCCTAATTTATTTCACTATGAATTCATTTTCAATGCCTTAGGATCAGTGTCGGACATAGTCTATCTAGCCACAGTTTCCTGGTCAAAACCATTCTTTATGCTGATGGTGTGTACGTGAAACGTGCCGCCCTGTAGCAGATAGAATATATATACATACATTGTTTGGTAGAAATACAGAGGCAAGAAAAAGCAATAATATACAATTCATTACAATGAAACTTAGACAATACATTAAGTTGTTGCTAATAGGTGATACTAAAAGGATTTAATTACCAAGTGAGTTAATTTGTACCGAATATCCTTTTAATTGTTTACTCCAGTGGCTTGATATTATAATTTTGGATTTTGCTGCTTTTTGTTATATATTCTTTTTCATTATTTTTTATTTTTTTATTTTTTTTAAAGTTGCAATGTTTACACTTCCATCCCCTTATGGGACAATGAGAATCTACATGTTATATGCACGTTTGTCACAGAAAGCAAAAAGCAGAACACATATAATTGTAATTGAGTCGTACTGATGCTCTTTTCTCTCTTTTCCTTCACAAATCGACTAACATGCAAGTGTTTATTATTGGGCAGACAGTGTTACATGTGTCACCTAGCAAGCAGTAAGTCTTATAAATAACATGATGTGAAACTTCCTAGCTGTGGTCACGTGTTCTAGTAGTGGTTTTACTCGAAGTCCATGCAGATTAACTCATCCCATAGGCAGGCACTAGCTGTGTTTCACCACTTCCGGGGTGGTGCGTTTCAAACCTCTATCTGGGTTCTCGGCGCAGATTGGTTTAAACGAAATGTGGGCAGGTGGCCCTTACTGTGATTGGCTAGCATGTGTTGCTGTTGTGGTAGCGGTGTGGCTGCGGGCAGGGCCCTTGGCTGTCAGTAAAGGCAGGAAGAGCTGCTGAGATGTCTGGCCGGGGCTCGCAGCGCATCGGTAGGAGTAATGGATAATGGCTGCACTGCAATAGAAACCCAGTAGCCGATATAGATCTCTATGGGGATTCGCAAAGTGCTGTGGCATGGGCTTGTCATGTTAATAAAGGGCAATTCTGGGTCAACGTTCTAAAACTGGAATGGTCAGCATGGACTTGCCATTGGTTTCCATGGTGACTTTAGAACTTTCCCCTAGATTTATTCTTAATGCGTGCCTCCCTTAAGTCTATACCTGTCTGTGTAGGATTGATTTTAAGTAGTGCTGGTATGGACAGGCACGTGTGTATACTGGGAACAGAATTAATATATATATATATGTGTGTGTGTTAATGCCTACATGTAGTAATTAATCCATCAGTGTGCTCTAAGCCACTGGTCAAGTGCTATTCTAGGTCTGTATGTTGCTTTCAGCCTGACACATGCAAATGCAAGGTATAATGGCCCTATGTTTAGAATGTTTATTAAAACATGCATCATGTAGGACACTAAAGTTTTCATTAGATTATCCAGTAGTTTTCCTTGAAATGTGTGATGTGTGGGGAGTCTTTGTATTACCATACAGGTTAGGTGTAGGGGGACGTATTGTAGAGTTCCTGAAGATGTATTATTTATTAGGACAAAAGTGAAGTACATGAGATGACTTGTGCATTTAACTTTTTTATGTTCTACTCATTTGTAAAGCACCAATAGAATTTTGCCCAAATGATCAATTTATGTAATCAGTGAAGTCCTTAACCCCTTAAGGACACATGACATGTGTGACATGTCATGATTCCCTTTTATTCCAGAAGTTTGGTCCTTAAGGGGTTAAATTGGTTAATTCACCTGCAGTACCAATTCAACATCAGGGTTAAATAATACAGAAATCCTTTTAACCGTCCAAGGCTGGTTATATGAACTCACTTGATGTATGTATCTCCCAATACATTCTTAAAAAGTGAAGTCCCAGTATGCCATTCATTACAAAATATTTCTAATTTTTTTTTTTTTTTTTTTCATAGCAAGTCACTGTACATTAAATATCTTGTATTCCTGCACTGGATGTGGAATTTCTATGACTGTTTGAATGGTCTTGAAATTTGACTTTTTCTTCTTACCTGCAAATTGTATGTTGTTTAAAATCTATGCACTTGTCAGCTGACACACAAAGCCAACCAATGCTGTACAAGTGTGGACACAATCATCATTGTTAATGCAGAAGTGAGACTCCTGTATTAACAATGATGGGTATGGGGCAATAAAGTGATCTAAAATGTCGCACCCATCCAGGGTAAGTAGTAAACAGTTTTATGAACAATTTGACAACTCACTGGTTGCATGCTACCACAATGTCCCTTGCTGCTGGAAACTGTTGCAAGGCGTCAACTGAGAATTCTCTGCCAATGAGTGTGGCACGGCCAACTTAACTTAGTGGCAGGAGCATCAAGTAGCTGTTGAAGTGGTGGTGGCTACCTGTCCGGACCCAGGTTAGTTGTCAAACTGTTTTTTAAAATATTTGACTACTTACTCTAGAAGGGTGCCTGCAATGGTTATGGAGCTTTGAAAGTTCATTTTAATCATTGTAATAACACAGTAGATTTTTTTTTTTTTTTAAAGAAGGTGGCAAATCAACTATTTTTTTTTTTACGTTTATAAAGACCGCATTAAGGTTTATTGGTGTTTCCTCTATTTGAACTCTAGCATGGATCATTAATTGTTCCTCAAATTCATGATTTTGTGTTGTTTGTGGTATTTACCTTCTAAACCACATCCTTATTACTGGTCTAACGTGATTCCTATTTAATGAATTGGATACTTCCTATGAATTGCAACATATGTTATTGTATTCTATAGGTGTATTTAGACAGTAAGTCAGTTGTTAAAACTTTGCATGTATCAGGCAACTGACCTTTTTGATTCCACTGATAAATCTTTAATATGACAAGATGTCATAGATACAATGCCTACTATTGATATGCTTGCTTTTAGCAAATAGTGTAGTCGTGATAATACCCACATGCTTGTGAAAAATTCCATCTAACCTTACTTAGGAATACTAATTTTAAAATACAGTACGTGAAGCAATATGTAACCCCCCCCCTATTAACCAAATTTGTACAGAGACCGCAAAGTCTCTCTCTTTTTTTATTTATTTTTTCTTTAAAATCATAACAAGCTCATCTAAATGCACAGAAAAGTGCCTAAAAAGACCTGACCTAAACAGGGAGGACAATTCGATTTATGGTATTACAGCGCAGTCAAGAGAAAAGCCACTTTAACAACAAAGTATCAGGCTTCAATCTAGTTTGATACAGCGCTTCTTAACATTGCGTTTTGTTTCTAATCAATCAGTGTTATCTGCGCAATGCTTCTCTGCATCCTTATTAAGCAGATGGTACTTTGAACTAGAGTTCATCACATTGGCTCCTTTAATAGTCTAATGCATTTGATCTAGCTATTTTGAACAGTGCACTGTAGTGGTTTTGATACTTGAAGTGTTCCCTAAAGAGCTACAATTAAATAAACCTAGAATTTAAACAATGAAAAAGCAGTATTGGCTAAAACATGGATTTGGTTTTTCTTTAAAGGACTACTCTAGGCACCCAGACCACTTCAGCTTTTATTATTATTTTTTTTTTTTATAAACATAGCTGTTTCTGAGAAACTGCTATGTTTATAATAGGGTTAATCCAGCCTCCAAAGCCTCTAGTGGCTGTCTCATTGACAGCCGCTAGAGGTGTTTGCATGCTTCTCACTGTGAAAATCACAGTGAGAAGACGCCAGCGTCCATAGGAAAGCATTGTAAATGCTTTCCTATGAGACCGGCTGAATGCGCGCACAGCTCCTGCCACGCATGCGCATTCAGCCGAAGAGGAGGAGGAGAGCTCCCCATACGGCGCTGGAGAAAAGGTAAGTTTAACCCCTTTCCTCTCTCCAGAGCCCGGCGGGAGTGGGACCCTGAGGGTGGGGGCACCTTCAGGGCACTATAGTGCCAAGAAAGCGAGTATGTTTACTATAGTGGTCCTTTAATTGTTTCAACCCCCTATGTGGTAATAGTTTGCTTTGATCCTTTTGCAGTTTTCCATTAATATTGTATTAGTTTATTTTGTTGTTTACTTGTTCCTCCCTTAAAGTGTTTATTTAGACATGAATTTTTTACCGTTCCATTGATAAATGTAGTGCTTTGAGGAGTACATATGGAAGATGAGCATGTCTGTTTTTTTGTTTTGTTTTTATTCCGAAATATGCTTGATAGTTTCCCTCCTTTGTGTGAACTAGATGGATTAATAACCTTGGAAAAAGTATTGTGTGACAGGAACAGCAGATATCAGTGATGAGCTCTCGCCACCAGTAATTTAAGAAATAAATGTTCACAAGTAGCAACACTGTGTTCAGGAACAGTACAAGGAACTTTATTGTTAATAGCAAGGAATGTTACAGTATGCATTAAAATGTTACTGTCACTTTTCTAGAAATTACACCACTGAATAAAATATTGAGTCACTTATAACTTGTTTTAAAGGGACACTGTAGGTACCAAGACCACTTCAGCCCATTGGAGTGGTCTGGGTGCAAACTCCCTTGACCCTTAACCCTGCAAGTGTTGTTATTGCAGTTTTTATAAACTGCAATAATTACCTTGCAGGGTTAAGTCCTCCACTGGAGGGACTTCTGGCTTCTTAGATGACTTTTCAGTCGCCAGAATCCCCATAGGAAAGCATTGAATAATTAGCGGCGGGGGCGGTGTGTGGGCGGAGGCTGATCCAGCGCCGAGGGACATCGGCACTGGATTCAGGTAAGTGTCTGAAGGGGTTTTAACCCCTTCAGCGATGTGGGATGAGGCACTCCAGGATTCTACAGTGCTAGGAAAACTAGTTTGTTTTGCTGGCACTAGAGAATCCCTTTAAAGGTCCACTAAAGTCACCCAGGCTACTATATCTCAATGAAGCTCTGTCCTTTTTATCTCTGCTATGAATTTTTTTTTTTTAAGAAACTGCAATGTTTATATTGCAGGGTTAAATCCTCTTCTAGTGGCTGTCATACTGCCATTTGCAAGAGGTGCTTCTGCAGCACTGACTAAGGAAAACTTGGTCACATGACATGGAAACCTTCGTAGGAAAGCAGTGAATTATTGCTCTCCTGTGGGAAGCTTGGATATGTATGTGGTGTTTACCCTGCTTTACCCTGCTTACTCTCCTCTGTGAGGAGAATTGGATTGAACCATTGCAGGTGAGGTCATACCTCGTCCATGACGTTATGGGCATCAGTGAGATACATTTTCTATCCTTTCATTTCACCAGTAAAATGTTCTTTCACTTCTCTTTTTACAACTAGTCTAAATTTAGCTGTATTTTCTAAGTTGGATATTTCTACGAAAAATGGCACAATTAAATAGAGAAAAGCAGGCACTTTTTAGAACAAATTACTAATTACAAACAGAAAAGAAAAATTGGTTACGCCTCCCCATTGTTTTATTGATTCGCTTTTCTGTATGCTAACTGCTAGTTGCAAAAGAGAGCACTTCTAACAATGATTGATATGGAGCTAAAATGGAGGTGCCTAGTGTTGGGCTAAAGAACCATGAATTGATACAATTAAAGTGGCTCTGTCATTCCTCCAGCAGAAGACTATGGCAGTAGATGCTTTAATTTTATTTTTAAAAATATTTTTATTTATTTATAAAAGCTATGTAAGCATGAGAAGTGACAACAATGTGTATTAATATAACCTGCATCTCTACTTAGTTGGCCTGCTTGATTATTGGTTATTTTCCTTTGTAGAGCAGCGTGGTGTATTTATTTGTTGTTGCATAGCAAGCGATGTAAACCTTCACACATTATTACACTACATTTGTTAACCATAGGAAATGCTTTTTTTTTTTTTACGGCACTGCCCAAATGCAAGAAAAAAATCACTGATTAGTAGATATAGCCCCAATGAAAACATTATGCATTATTTTCATTAGGGATTTATCTAAAAACAGCTTGCAAAAGCTGCAGATCTCTTATCTTACTCCAGATATAGGCAACCATTGGCACTCCAGATGTTGTGGACTACATCCCCCATAATGCTCTTACACCCATAATGCTGGCAAAGCATCATGGGAGGTGTAGTCCAAAACATCTGGAGTGCCGAAGGTTGCCTATGCTTGTCAATCCCTCGCCTCCCACATTTTCAGTCGCTGTCCAATCCAGGACTTACTGCAAGGCAGGTGCTCTGAGCTAACCAAACCAGGAAGTAACAGGACCTGTTGTCTGATTGACAGATACGGGGTGTAACTAGGTTAATTTGTAAATGTGCCAATTTCCATTAAAAGCTGCATTTTTTTTTTTTGTAAAAAAATTTAAAAAAGGCACACTCTTCACCCATGAAGCATTTCAGCAAGCTAAAGTTCTTTAGGAATCTGGAGTGTCACTTTTGAACCATCACTTCCCAGGATTTCTAACATTATTTACTTATTTGTATCTTTACCAAATAAGTACAGTATTTTTCTGTGTATAAGACGCCCCTATATTTTTTGAACCCAAAATTAAGAAATACATATTCTGAATCTAAACACCTATAGCACTGAAGTCCAGTTTGGCTGATCAGGATTCCTCACCAGTACTGGGCCCCCTCACACTCCGTTAGGCCGCTCCCTAAAGTCCGGACACTGGTTCCGTGGACTGTTGGCAGCAACGATGCCTTCTGCCTGCGGTACCCTATGAGGGCTATCCGGACAAGGCCTCAGTCTGCGGCATCTATCTGTAGTCCGGAGGCGTGAGGTCTTGGCGTGGTCAAAAGTGATGTGAGGAAGCATGCAGTAGTGCAAGATCCGCACACACAATTGATTAAATTCACCAAGAAGCGGTGTACAACACATTATTCCCACAGGAACCTGGCAGTAGCGAACACAACAGTCAGCTAAATGTTCTGTCAGCAAGTAGCCAAGTTTTGTGCCCAAATTTTGCTGAGTAACTACCGTAAGTATTTGGTTTAATAATTAGATTTTTTTGAAGGAGCTCCAGCTTGGTTGACTGTCAGGCCCCGCGTACAAGAGTTTTTTTTTGTTGTTGTTTTTTTAACCCTGCAGTGACATTCCATGTATAGGACAACCCCCAGTTTTAGACTAGAACATTTTTTTAAAAAAAACCATACTTTTATACAGGTTTGTAAGGTGTAAATATTATAAATATTAAATGTTGGAATCCATACTAGCATAGTCCATTTTAACTTTATTTTAATCATTGTTAAGCTCGGCCTTTGGTCCGTGGCACACAGCATGCAGGTAAGAGGGTACATGATTTTATCAGAGCTTAAAATTACTTGCTAGGCCACTGCAAGTCTGCAAGCATCTATGGCACAATCACCAGGGGTTAATGCCTGCTCACCAGTACTAAATTTACAACAGCCAATGGCAAGTTGGCAAGTGGTGTTGGTAAATTTTCAGCTATTTAGTCCATATTTGAAACCGAATTTAAATTTAATGACAAAACAACTAAATTGGGGGGGGGGAAGTCAGCTATGCTGCCAGTTTGGCAATTTTGGTCACAAATATGAAATCCAAACACTATTTATATTTCCCAAGCTCAACTGCTATATTTGCCATGGCTTTGCCTGGTCAAACCTGGATTATGATGTCCTTTGCTAAATGTTTAATGTATAGTTAAAAGAAAATGGAGCGTCACATGAAAAATGTTAACGCAAATTATGGGTGATTTTTCAATGTTTTATTAAATGTACTTTCCAAAGGATTGACAGTTCCCTTTTAATCAACCCACAGGAAAATGTACACTTTGTAGGCTGTTTGTTTTACTTGTGAAATTTTAGTTTTTTTTTCCATTTTTGCTATTTGTAAAAGAGAAACCAGTCACAAAGGAAATGATCTGTGAACCAAGTTGCAAATTTGTTTCCCTCCTACATATATGTTGTGTAATGTCTAGACCAGATACTCAAAGCAGTCTTGATGCACTTGTTATCCACATTGTCTTGGTAAAGCATAATACCAAGTAATGTTTGATACTTATATATGCCTAATATACTAATTAGACTGGCTATCTAATAGCGTTACTTGCCAGGCAGGGATACAGAGTGAATTTCAAAATTTAGGCAAAAATGAGTTCAGGAAAAAAATCTCCAGTTCTGTGATCAGTTTGGCTATTTTGGCCATATAAGTGAAATTTGCTTTGAATTCCTTGCAATTCTCACTTTAGTGAATTATCGTGTAAGTGTTTATCCCCACAATCCCAGCAAAGTACATTGTAGTTGGCTAATCCTTAAGAGAGGGCACACTCTCTTACTGAGATTATGGAGAAACCGTAATTTTATCGTATTTAAGATGGGTTAAAGTTTACCTCCCAAGAAGCGTGATAATAGTAAAGAGGGGGGGACTGGTCACTGAAGTGATTGCACCAGTGGCCTCCTCCAAAAGGTGGCTGGTTCATCTAAAACCGCCGACACTGAGGGCAAACTCTGTAGGAGCACTGTTTCAGTGCTTTGTGCAGGGCCCTAGTGCCCTGAATATATCGCAATCATGCCTAGTGATGCTCTGTCGCTGTGCTTGTTGGGGACACCAAGGAACTAGGTTGGAACGGTGGGACAGTATCTATCTGCAAATTGGGACTGTCCTGCTGAAATCTGGACAGTTGGGAGGCTTGTAAACGTATTGTAGAATCACTAATGATTGTTGCCAGCCTAATGGCTCTTAGAGCAAAATTGGTAAAGTTGTTCTACAAGCACTTTTAGTCTACCTTTTAGCCAAACATACGTTATAGATATGTGTGCAATTTTGATTGCTTTAACTTAAAATTTATTTCTCTCTTTCTAAGAGTTTTGTGGAACTTTTCATATTTTGTAACATATTTATGCTGTGTTGAACAGTTCTCTGTTGTTAAAGAGTACTGTAGTAAATTTTTGTAAGGTCTAGCTCACTGACAGAGTATTTACCTGCAGAAGTTTCATGAAGGAGATTCTGGCCCTCTGGTAAGGAAGTGACTTGTGTCTGGCGGAGTAAGTAGTAAAACATTTGGCATATGGTTTGCTTACTAACATTACGGGTAAGAGGGCAACATGGCACTCATGGCACCATAGCAAACAGCATGTAGTAGTAATGGTTATGATGTTCAGACATACTTTTTAGTATGGCTTACCTATTGGAAAGAGCTTATTCTATATTGTAAAGCGCTGCAGAATTAGTTGGCGCTAGGGATCAACCGATTATCAGTCTGGCCGATATTCGGTATTTTCGTTAATATCGGTATCGGCCAATAAAGATACATGACAAGCCCGGTGGTCCAGGGGGGCTCGCAGCATGCGCTTACTTACCTTCCCAGCAGCTCCCTTCAGCTCTCTGTGTAAAGCTCGCGAGTCCTGCAGCCGTCAGAGCGTTGCCACGGATTACCTTGGCAACGCTCCGCGCGGCACACTGGCCACGAGATTTACACAGGAAGCTGAAGGGAGCTGCTGGGAAGGTAAGTAAGCGCTTGTTGCAGGCCCCCACTGCACAGTCCATGCCACTGGACCACCAGGGAATGCCATACCCCCACTGCATTCACTACACACACTACACAAACACACACACACTGCATTCACTTTACGCACACTACACAAACACACACACACACTGCATTCACTTTACACACACTACACAAACACACACACACTGCATTCACTTTACACACACTGCATTCACTATACACACTACACGAACACTCTGCATTCATAATATACACACTGCATCCACTACACAAACACACACAGCTCCCTGTCTAAACACACTGCATTCACTACACATGGCATGTATATTTTGTGCATTTACCTTTAGAAATAGTTTATTTTTTTAAAATGGTAAATGTACAGAATATCGGTAAGCTATCGGCCTGAAAGTTCAGAGTATCGGTATGTGCTTTAAAAAAAATCAATATCGGTCGATCCCTAGTTGGCGGTATATAAATACCAATAATAATTATGACGGAACATGTGGAGATTGTTCGAGAGGGGCATCTGCAATATAAAGATAAATGTTTTGGTGGCATGTACTGACCTTTCTACTAAGGCTACGTATATGCAAGGATGAGCATATTGTAGGGTTGCTTTTAGTTCATAATCAAGTCATAGTATTGAATCAGATTTCCTGCTAACTTGCAACTCTTCAGAAACCGCAAAGTGACTCAAATTCATTAGATCTGTTCGGATTCAAAATGTACAAAATGACTGCAATAACTGACATACTTTACTTTCAATGTCCCATTTTGCTGCTGCTGATTAAGATCCCTGACCTGGTTTTTAACAACTCTATTGCCATGACCTCAACAGATTTGAAATGTTGAGGAAGATTTTTTTTAAATGCAAATTATATTTTGTCAAAGTTAAAAAAAGAGGTTTCACTTTTTAACTGCAAGTGTTAAGATGGTATGGGGAGGGCTTTGTATCTCAATTTGGAAATGTAAAACACGTATCTATCAACAATTCATTATGTATTTTGTGTGTATATACATGTTTATACATTACCATAAGTAGACTCCCCCCTCCCCCCCCTGTACCTTTTTAAATAAAACATATTTGTTTATGTCTTCTCATTAGAAACTGCTGACACTTCCTGCAAAGAATATGGTGTGTTGTAGATAGAAGTGACAGGAAACGTGTAGGTGTAGTGCATAATACATCTATTATATGCCATCATATAATAGCACTTTCAATGTTTTGTTTAGTTTTTTTTTTTGTTTTTTTTTTTTAACCAGGGTACACTTTGTAAGGTGAAGAACTCCTGTACTATGCATGGAGACATATCTGTTTGTGACAATTCACCCCACTATAGAATCTTTTGGTAGGACACAAAAGCTTCTGCATGGGGACAACTCTGCTCAGTGGTGGTTTTTATTTTGCACTCATTTTAGGCTGTGATGTGGAAATGGCATTGTAGCTTTAATTTGTGGGTCATTCTCAACATTTGCAATAGACAGAGCAAGAAAGATAAGCAATTTTAATGTGAGTACTTTTTCATATTGTCTAATGGCAATGAAGTCTCATTAAGTAGGCCGGTTGTTGTACTTTTTTTTATTTTATTTTTTTTATCCATTCACAGGCACACTTAAGTACATTAAAATATTTAAAGTATAAACTAGTTAACATTAATAGAAGACCTCAAACTGGCTCTGTCACTTCAAACGTACCTTTCTCCTACTGTTTCTTCTTTTCTTCCTCTTTCGAAATCTGTTCTTATTTTGTACATTTCTGATCATATTTTCTTTAAAACATAAGACAAATTAGTCCGTGTATTTTCCTACACCTAACAATATTGACAAAGGGTGGAGCTTAAAGAGACACTATAGGCACCCAGACCACTTCTGCTCAATAATGACCTCTGAGGGTTAAAACCACCGCTAGTGGCTGTCAGCCACTTAGAGGGACTTATGGTCTATTAGATGACTTTTGAGTGGTGGGTAGCCATCTAAATGGTGTTTTGTCTTTTGTTGTTGTTTGTTTTTACAATATTGGGTCAGGAATAAACATTTGTGTTCCTTACCTTGGGGTTCCGCAGCAATTTGCCAATCAGATGGCCCATTAACTTAGGGCCACCCGATCGGTATCACTGGAATACAGGGGCCTAGTCACTGTCTTAAATGGCCGTGGTGTCTGACCGGGCCCCTGTGTTATTGGATGCTGGGAGGAGCTGACAGCGTGTCACTTCCTCCCAGATTTGGAGCACGCCGAGCGGGACAGAGAGAAGGCAGGGGAAGGGAGAGAGCAGTAGCCAGCAGTACTCCAGCATCCAGCACTTTAGCATCCAATACTCCAACATCCAGCACTCTAACACCCAACATTCAGCACTTCAACACCCAGCAGCAGTACTCCAGCATCAAACACTTCAATAACCAGCACCCTAACACTCCCAACACCCTGCAGCAGCACACCAGCATCTAACACCCCAACACCCAGCAGCATGCCAGCAAACCAGCAGCACTCGAAGCAAGTCACCCTCCTGCAGTTAAAAGGTAACTTAACTGAGGGTGACTGCAAATATAAATATTATGACCTGTGTGTGTATCTGTGTGCCAATGTGTTAACTTGAGTGTGTGTGTAACAGATCCCCTGGCACCCAGGCTGGGTACCTCCATCAACGGATGCTTCCTAGCTGACGCTGAGGACTATAAGCACCGCACCGGACACCACAAGCACGGCAGACTCCACAACCGCCGTAACGTAGCTGGAATCTCGTCGCCTTCTTTCCACGCTGGAACCACGTCTGACACCCAGGACCGTGTGGTGAAGACCTCTCCTCCAGGAGAGCGTAACAGGAACAGCTCTTAGAAGAGCTAGTGATTAGAGCCCAGGGGAGTATACAGAGTATAGCAATCCCCAGTGTGATTATAGCAGTTTCCCCCAATAAGGGATAGAACTCCGTATTGAGGGTGAAGTAAGACAGAGAGTTTAATGGTACAGGTTGGCTTTATATACAACTTTTCAGGCCTGAGGAATGCCCACTGGACCTGAAAGGGGACTGGGACACAAGGGACACAAACCAATAAAAACAGCGTAAAAACATCTGACACTCCCACATACAATAAACAATCCCCTCTGCCTGTGATATAATTAAGGTAGTTAATGCATTAACTTAATTATCCACAGGCAGAAAAACACACATTTTTATGAAAGTACCATGATATACAAACACCGAAGCACACCTGCTCCTAAGTACTACAATCTGTTCACGTTCCGTAGAAATTTGGCAAATATATAACACATTACGCTCTTTGTGCTAACGCGCTAAATTTTTTTAATTGGGAACTCCTGCCCTATAGTGTTCCTAAGACAAGTTTCACACTCTGTTTCACACTCTGTTATCTTGACAAAGGGAGTGGAGTATCACAAGAAAAAAGTTAAAACAAGTGTAGGGGATTTTAATTGTTTTAGCCAATGCTGCAATTTCAAGAGAAGTCACAGTTCCCATTTAAAGGAATACTCAAAGCACTATAACCACTACAGCATGCTGGGAAGCCATTTAGAATGGTTTGACAATTTAACTGTATCCAGTCTTCTCTTCCAGAAGCCCATGTCTTTCAGCAGCTAAGATTGATTGAGTGCTATAAGCTGATGCTTCTGGTCTCCCTGCAACTCTGCTCCGTGTCCGATGCTGTCAGTTACTAAGCTGGTACAAACGGTCTAACGCAGGATGTATGTTAGAATAGGGGCTAAGTTTATAGTGCAGAAGGATGCAATACCTTTATTTGCACAAACTTTAACAAGTTGCTTTTAGTGCCTGAAATGTCCATATATTTATTTATTTTTGTGTGGGAGGCATGTTAAAACCTAATTCAAATTAGCCAAGAAGCTGTTCTGTGAGAGTGGCAATAAAAGTGGGAAACTTTTAGCCCGAGCATTATGGCAATGCGTGCAGGCAAAAAACATACTTTAAAGGAACACTATAGGGTCAGGAACACAAACCTGTATTCCTGACCCTAAAGTGTTTAAACCACCATTTAGATGGCTTCCCCCCCTTAGCTCCTTTAGTGGGGGTTAAAACTCACCTTATATCCAGCACCGTGTGGATCCGGCACTGGCCTACCCCAATCTACCTCCTTGGTGACATCAGAATTTATGGTTTTTAGCCAATACAATGCTTTCCCTAAGGGAGATGGGATGGGGGCAGGGCCAAATGTTGTTTTGGTCAATTAGCACTTTCTCATAGAGAAGCATTGAATCAATGCTACTATGCAGCACTTCCCCGGGAAGTACCTCCAGTGGCCATCTGAGGAGTGGTCACTGGAGGTGTCCCTAGGGGGCAATGTAAACACTGCCTTTTATCTGAAAAGGCAGTGTTTGCATGAAAATGCCTGAAGGCAATGATCATACTCACCAGAACAACTACATTAAGCTGTAGTTGTTCTGGTGACTATAGTTTCCCTTTAACCCCTTAAGGACACATGACATGTGTGACATGTCATGATTCCCTTTTATTCCAGAAGTTTGGTCCTTAAGGGGTTAAAGGGACACTATAGTCACCTGAGCAACTTTAGCTTAATGAAGCAGTTTTGGTGTATAGAACACATGCCCCTGCAGCCTCACTGCTCAATCCTCTGCCATTTAGGAGTTAAATCCCTTTGTTTATGAACCCTAGTCACACCTCCCTGCATGTGACTTGCACAGCTTTCCATAAACACTTTCTGTAAAGAGAGCCCTATTTAGGCTTTCTTTATTGCAAGTTCTGTTTAATTAAGATTTTCTTATCCCCTGCTATGTTAATAGCTTGCTAGGCCATGCAAGAGCCTCCTGTATGTGATTAAAGTTCAATTTAGAGATTGAGATACAATTATTTAAGGTAAATTACATCTGTTGAAAGTGAAACCAGTTTTTTTTTATTTTTCATGCAGGCTCTGTCAATCATAGCCAGGGGAGGTGTGGCTAGGGCTGCATAAACAGAAACAGTGATTTAACTCCTAAATGACAGTGAATTGAGCAGTGAAATTGCAGGGGAAAGATCTATACACTAAAACTGCTTTATTTAGCTAAAGTAATTTAGGTGACTGTAGTGTTTCTTTAACAAAATTCACCATAAAGGCAAAATCCACTCGACTCTTACCCAAACTGCAGAGTCCTTTTTACAATATAAAGGTTTGTTATATTATCTGGTCACCTCATACCCAACACCCAGACTCCACCTCTTCCTCCCAAATCGACGCCTATGTCTCTGAAAACAATAATTATTGATATGGCCATTGTACACTGTTTAAAAGAACACCTAACATAGAAAGAACAAAATATTTCAAAATCTGTTTCAACATCTTGGCCCCACATTTGCAATGTATGCTTAATGCCATTCAAGAAGGCAGCTCCCTAGATCCACATACCCTTACTTAACTTATCAAGGGGCCAGGACTATATGGGTCATATTGCTGTGCAAAGATCCCTCGTGCTGCCCATGTTACAGACCAGTCTGCCTGTTGAATGGGGATCTCAAAATGTTTGCTAAATTCCAGGCCCCGCTCCCTTAGCTACACATCTTACCTGGTTCACCCAGCCTAGGTTGGATTTATTTAACCCAGTCTCAAAGTTTGTGGCACAGTGACTGTGAAAGAGAGGGTTTTCCAAAGGCAGCAGGTCTGCAGATTTTTAACAAGCTCTTTTTTTTTTTTTTCTCTCTCTCTTTTATACTCAGAAACAAAATGTGCATAATAAATGCATGTTATTTGTGGGGATATATTTACAATAAGATAGCCCAATGGTTCCCAAACTGATATTTTCCCGCTGCTATGATTAAATGATAATCGCTCCGGGAACTGTGCCTTCATCTCCTCTGCCGTCTCTGCTGGACAGGACAGGAGTTTAGAGATCTACCTCACCAGCCCGATAGCACTGTAATGCTGCAGCTGGCTGGGTAGGAAGAGTGAGAGGACCCGGGGGAGCTCTAACCTACAGCTCTGCCGGTTTCTCCTCGTGCGAGCTTGGATCGTTGCAGCGGTTCCCATGGCAACGCTCCGAATCTCGTCAGAGTGAACTGAGCTGCAGGCTAGAGTTCACTCTCACCAATAGGACCACCAGGGATTAGTACTGTACCCTCTCCCAGGCACGGGTAAGCAGGGAGGGATGATATGAAAATAATATTATGAATTTGCACTCCTACCCCCCCCGAGACACAACTCCCTCCTATACACACAACTGCCACTCCATACACACACTACTTTACCACACACACTGTACCCCTCACAGACCAACTGCCCCACATAAACAAAGAACCCTGCACACTGATACCATGTAAATACTCCGGCCATCCACAGTGGAGGTGCTCTGTGTCAGGCGGACATCACTTGATCCACCAGTAAAGTCTCCAAAAGGAACAAACGCAGGCAACACTCCAATAGTAAGGATGGTATATTTATTGATAGGTGAACCACCCCATAGAAAGTGCAATGTTTTGGCTCAGCGGAGCCTTAATCATGCATATGGATAACAAAGTGCAAATGTGCACAACCAATTAATTCATCAATAAAAAAGAACATATGTATCTAAATGACCTACAATATTGTAAAGCCTGGTACTCATTTTTTTTGTGAGGTTGGGGCTGTGATGGCCATGAGCAGAGTAATGCAAATTCTAAAATTCTTTATGGATAATTCTGGAAAAGACCTCAACCTCAGGTGTCACCAGTGGGCTAAATGAGCTCCAGTTCCATAAATGAAAATCTTTTGCTGCCAAGGTCTGTGCCAGATTATCCTCAATTAACCTAGTTGGTTTATTAGAGAGAAAAAAACTTTCAAATTAACAGATCTTAAAAATCGTTCCACACATAAGAATAAATCAAATTAATTAAAGTTAGCGGTTGGACAAAATAAAAGTCCCTTTGATAATACCTTAAAGGGACACTGTAGTCACTATAACCACTTTGTCTCTTTGAATTGGTTATAGCACCTGGAGTGCCCTGGCACTGTCCCTCCATTCAGTGTTGCACCATGTTTGTGCAGTATGCCACAAAATAAGAGTCCCTGGCCACCCACAGTCCGGCCCCTTCTGTATGTGTAGCTAAGGCAGAGATTACACACTTCCTTGTTGTCATACCCATTCATACCGTCAGTTGGAGCTCTGACAGGTTAAAAGCAGTCAGCTGACACTCTCAGCCAATCACAGCTGCCCATTGCTGCTCAGGGTAATACTTCCTTATTAGCCAAAGCAGCACAGAGGGGATGGACTGCCGTGGTCTCTTGTTTAGCATTAAAACATTACAACATTAAAAACTGTTTAATGCTGAAAGAAATGAGGGCACCAGGGGACTCCATACACTATAACCAGCTTAATGAGATGAAGCAAATACAGTGCCTACGGTGTCCCTTTAAGTTTGCTTCTAATCAAGATGATGTCAGAGACACTAACTACAATCAAGTAGTTACTTGTAACTGTAGTTCTTGCAACTCCATTATTAAGGTTGATGGATTTTTCCATCCCTATAATGGTCGTTCTTATAACGTAGAAAGGTTTTTTTTAACATGTGAATCGACTTATGTAGTCTATATTCTCAAGTGTCCTTGTGGTCTTCTCTACATTGGGGAGACCACGATAAAAGTCCACAATCCGAACCAAACAAAAAGAAATACCTATTCCTGCTCATTTTTTAGAATGTAATCATAACATATCTCAATTACGTTTTCAAATAATAGAACATAAACTACCACTTAGGAGAGGAGGAAATCGACAAAGCTTACTCAAAAAGAGGGAGGCCTTTTGGATTCACACGTTAGACATTCTATGGCCTAAGGGACTCAATAGAGAATTTTCTTTTACCTCTTTTCTGTAATTTCTTTTATATACACTACATCTGGAATTAGATTGATTACTTTTCCTGTTTACACGTTAGCTTGTTTGACTTAGAAGTCTGATCCCAATTTTGTGTCCACCAGATTTATGGCGGTCTCACATGGGGAGAACTTGACTCCTCAGATAAAACAGTTTCTATCTGCTTATATTACATAATTGCATATGACCCATTTTGAGATGATAAATATTTATTTTGTGTGTATGTATGTGTGTGTATGTGTATGTATGTATGTATGTATGTATGTATGTATGTATGTATGTATATATATATATATATATATATATATATATATATATATATATATATATATATATATATTATAAAGAGAAGGTCTTGTTGACACTGTGTATCAGAATAAATGCTGTGATTTCCCTAGTTTTGAACATTTGTTATAGATACATGCTTCCACCATCTGCAATATATTGATCAAGATGGTCTTAATTATTTAAGTTAATTTGCTGGAATATAACCTTTATTTGTGCCTTTATTTGTGCCTTTAACATTAAAATATACCATCTTATATCTTGTCAAATTCCATGCCATATATTTTGCTATACTGCTTCATACTTTGAAAAAACTCCATGTCATGTTTTACTAATGATATTGTGTATGTATTTCGATATGTGTTTTTTGTTTTTTTTTATTGATGAATTAATTGGTTGGGGGGATATATATATGCACATGTGCAATTTGTTATTCATGTGCATGTTTAAGGCTCCGCTGAGCCAAAACATCGCACTTTCTATGGGTGGTTCATCTATCAATAAATATACCATCCTTACTATTGGAGTGTTGCCTGCGTTTATTCCTTTTGAAAACTGCCACACACATACACACGCACTACATCCCTCACAAACACAATACACCCCGCACACATATTGCACCCCTCACGCACACTACAGCCCCTATCCCAGATAAGTTGTCAAACTGTTCTTAAACAGTTTGACTACTTACTCTGGGAGGGCACTACTTGCACCATAACCACTACAAAGTGCAGTAGTGGTTATTGTGCCTATATTGTTTCTTTAAATAGTCTACCAGTACCCCTCCCAAGATTAGGTTCTGGATCTGCGCTTCAACAGCAAACATTTCTGCCGAACAGGGCCCCAGTATATGCCGCTGTGCTGTACATATATACAACCTAGAAAATTGTTTTGACTTGGGGTGCATTGGAAAAATATTGAAATATTAAGGGCGCCTTAAACCTAAAAAGTTTGGTTACCCGTGAGAGAGCCTTTTTGGTGGAGAGTTCCTTTAAACACACGAATTGGCAACTCAAAGGCTAGATTGCACATTGCTTTTATTTGCTAAGTAGAATTTGATTTACACAAACAGGGCAGCAGTACAAATATATTGATTGATCAGCTTTACCATGTGTAATAGAAGTGAAATATTTTCTATGAAATAGATAAGTAAAAACAAACCTCACATGCATAAGTATTGTTTATTGTATAAAAAAGAAAATACTAAAATAATGTTCAAAAGTGACTTGTCACCTTCACTGGTGTTTGCATGGGTGTGCAGTGGCCTGACTGGGTGTGACGTTAAAGGTAGTTCACTTACCAGAAGCTCTACCTCATGAGAGCCATCGTGGTGGTCTATACAATATGTTGTGCAGGCTCCTTTGTAGCTGAAATGTCATGATGTGTTAGAAGACGCCAGTTTCTCACAGCTGTTGCTAGTGATGTCTGTATGAACGGACAAAACTTCACAGCAGAAGATCTGCTTTTTGTCAACCTCAGGCTTGCTCCTTAGACTGAGTAGTTGCTATATTTTATTGTTCTCTTTTGATTGTGTTGTTTCTGTGAAATTAAAACCCACTCCGTTTTAGTATTTGATAAAATTTGATCGTTATGACGTATTCTGAAATTAAAATTTAATGACAGCGCTGCTTTGGTTTTAAAAGGTATTCAGTTGTGTAAATATTGTGAAGTTAAAGATTTTTTTTTCTAATGCCCCTTACAAATCTAGAACCACTACTTTTAAAATAAATGTCTTTTTAATTACTTTAGATATTGATATGTGTGCACACTATGAGCATGTGGCCTAAAGCATTTTCTCACCTACAATACCGCATGACAATTGTATAGCATACAACACAACCACATAACTCTCCTCCCATTTAACATCCAACAAACACACTATATCCATTTTTGATTTGGGGCAGCATAGTGCAGGCATGTATATACTTTGTGTACCTGTGTGTCCCAACATTCATTGCTGCAGTTTCTGTCATGTCGGCAGAAGACAAAATGCAAAGCAGGAGGTAAGAGAGGGGTGAACTGTTGGCTTGCTCTGTATGTTGATTGTGCTATATATATTGTACAATGTATTGCACACTCTCCACACTTTTTATGTTCATACCGGGCAGCAATACATGAACAGACACATATATATGTATCAACGCATATTTGTGGTTTTCACATTATAATATGTCAGGAGTCCTTTGTAAACAAACTGGAGGCTGGGGGACGATTTTCTTTAACCATTTTTCTGTTTGCCTTGCAGATCCCAGTGATGAAAACATTTATCAGAATGGACAATGGATGAAGCCCATGCCTGATCCCTTGCTCTCCCCAAAGTCTACCCTCCGGTAAATTTAAAACTTTTGCATGTTTATTGACAGAAGAGCTATCACTGCAATATATTGTTTTTGCTTCTTCCCTGCTGTCGTAAAAATGTATAGATTAATGGGACTGGGACTTTTTGATGGTTGTAATAAAAGCACAACGTTAAAGGATTACTTTAAACAAAAATTATATTATTTTTTTTATTTTTTTAGTTAGAGTAACCTTTGCTGGCATGCCACCCACACCTAAAAATAAAAAATATAAAAATAAGGAAATAAAACGTATCTGCTGTTTCATGCCTTTGCCAGCTTCTCTCTACAGCTTCATTCCTTTCTGGTGAAGTCACTTCCCCTCACTGCAATGGGGAGGGACACCCCAGAGTATAGGCTGGGAGGAGACAGGGCATTCCATCACTGATCATCTTTCACCAACGACAGATGTCTCATTATGCACAGATTTAACATTGGCTAACCCAGAAAATGGTAACTCATTCCGGTCTGGCTAATGATGCAGTTCAAGGTGGAGCTACACATCCAGCAGCAAAGTACATTTTCTCTGTATGTGCAGTGTTTCACTTTCAATCACATCTTATAGCACTGGATTTTTGCTTTAGAAGTTCAGATGTCAAGCTCTGTAAACTGAACTTTTAAAGGACCACTAAGTCACCCAGACTACTTCATTTCAAGTGACTCAGTCCTGGATTCAAATGCTGCTGATAACATTATTATATAATAGGAGCACTTTTTTATCTCTTTTCCATTGTTGCTCTATGAGAAGCAATGGATTGAAGGAGATTGTGGACGACATCAGCAGGCATGTGTAGCAGGAGTTCCAGAGCTGGAAATTAGGTAAGTAATCTTCATTTAAACAAAAGTCAAAAGAGACTCAAGGGACAGGGCAACCTGGCCCTAAAGTCAAAAAGTGGACTAGTTGGGTAAAGTGGACATAACCCAAATAAATTATTCAAAGAAAAAGAGGACCTAAAGCGGGTATACCACACTGCCCCAAAAATAGTACTAGCATGCTCTTGATAAAAGCGCAACATAGCGCCGAAACGCGCATTGAGCTAAGACGCTGCCGTTAGGCGATATTTTTTTTTCTTTTCCATAGGGTTATGTAGCTTGATTACATTATTTGAGATCAGCTTTTATGCAACTAGTTCGTTGCAGGACAAATATAGGGAGCTAGAGTTATTTTTGATATGCTTTATAAACGAACTACTGAGATTGGGGCAGTGTGGTAATCAGTTAGTGTGGAGAGAAATACCTAGGCATAGTGTTATAGTATCTTACTGGGGAAACGGCATGCTACTTTTACATAGCACCCACTTAGGCTCTATGCTGTACTTATCCCAGATACTTGTTTTACACTAAAGCTATACTTATGGGACTAAGGGGGGTTCTTAACCCTTATCTCTCACACTTTGATTATTGAGTTTTTTGATTGATAAGATAGGGAGGGGCAATTATCTTTGCTCCCTATTTTCCTACTCTCCTTCCTTTCAATTGGGTTCACTATAATATATGATAGGAATTCATCTCAAAATACCCCTACTCTTTTTTTTCTTCTTCTTATGTAGCTGTCTGCTCCCGCCCTTATACCTGCTCTAGCAGTTTTACTAAAATAGATACTTAACGATCTGGTGTATACAATTAACCTGTTTGTCGTTACATATTTGCACTAGTAGCTATTTTCCGATTTAAATTTCCAAAGATATCTAACATAGTGAATCTGAATAGCTATATGAGCAGCTGCTTTGCACCTGGATATTTTTACAGCAGTTATCTATAGGACACATCAGGCAGGCTACATAGATTTCTCCTTTTTAAGTCACTTGCACATTTCTGTATCACTATTTTATTTAGTTTCACGTTTAATGTATAATCTTCATTTAATTTGTAGGTATTTATTTTTTTTTTATTTTTTTTAAACTAGTAAACAGGAGTGGGAAGTTAACCTGTAATTCTTATTTTTATGATTATAGGACGCACACACCCCCCCTCTCCTAAAGGCTTTGGCGAGCTATTAAGGGAGCATGAGTTAATAAATTCTAAATTCAACACACATTGTAATAAAGGAAGTGTGTAGGGAGGCTGGGAGAGTCACAGCCAGGGTAGGTGTAAAACAAAGTGATTTAACTCCTAAAGGTTTAAGTTTATGTGAGCCACAAAGAACCCCCAAAAAAAAAAAAAAACCTACAAAACTTAAAAACTTTTTTCATAGACATATATAGGTTTATTTAGAAAAGTACAGTATAAAAAAAAGTTGCCTAACTGACACTGGACGTCCTCACGCTCGTTGGGTTTAAAAAATAAACAAAAGAGCGCTTTTATTTTAAGAAGACGTGAATTTGCATATAACCAATGTTTCAGTCAAACTACTTATTGATTATGAAGTCCTATGAATGTGTTCTTCACTTTGGCTGAGATCATCAAACTTGATGATCTCAGCCATCCAATGCTTTCCCATAAGAAAGCATTAGGAGGCTATTGTACATGTGTGGCAGAAAGCTGCACAGCCAATCAGCATCTCCATGGGGAGTGTTTAGCACCTCCATGCAGTCCCAATCTAATACACTGCCCCCAAATCCAATCTACTAAACTGCCCTCTCCAATCAATCTAATACACTGCCCCTCCCCCTGCCATAATTTAATACACAGTCCTCTCCCCCAGTTTAACACATGGCCCCCACTGCCACCACTCTAATTTAAAACACTGTCCTCTCTCCAATTTAATATACTGCTCCCCCTCCCCTAATTTAATACACTGCCCCCCTCCCCCAATTTGACATCACCACTCTAATCGGGGCATTGAATACACTGCCCGCACTCCCACCTCTCTGATTTAAAACACTGTCCTCCCCCCAATACACTGCCCTCATCACCACTCTAATACACTGCCATCTTATTCTAATACACTGCCCCTCCTCCTTACACACTAATTTAATATACTGCCTCTCCTCCACAATTTAACACACTGTCTCCTTTCCCTGTCTCCCCCCCAATTTAATACACTGCCCTCCCCCTAATTTAACACCTTGCCCCCTCTCCCATCACTTTAATACATTGGCCCCCTCCCTCCCCAAAATTAATACACTACCCCGTCCCTCCCTCAAATGACTACACTGCCCTCCCCCTAATTTAATACCCTGCCCGCTCCCACCACTCTAATACACAGCCCCAATCACTACCCATATTAATACACTGCTCCCCTCCTCAATGTAATATACTGACACAACTGCCTCCGTCCTAAAGGGGTTAAGAAGACTTTCAAGGATTACTATAGTGTCAGGAAAACAAAATGGTTTTCCTGACACTATAGTGCCCTGAGGGTATCCCCACCCTCAGGGTCCCCCTCACGTGGCGGTGAAGGGGTTAAAACTCCTTCAGCAGCTTACCTTATTCCAGCGCCGGGCTCCCTCGGCACTGGTGACCTCTCCTCCCCCGCCGACGTCAGCGCAGCGGAATGCACATGCTTTCCTATGGACGCTCTGCGTGATGGAGGCATGATATGCCTCCAGCCTCGCAGATGCGCCTCTAGTGGCTGTCAGGAAGACAGCCACTAGAGGCTGGATTAACCCCAAATGTAAACATAGCAGTTTCTCTGAAACTGCTATGTTTGTATCTGCAGGGTTAACCTGAGGGACCTGGCACCCAAACCACTTCATTGAGCTGAAGTGGTCTGGGTTACTATAGTGTCCCTTTAATATTTTTTCACAGCGGTCTAAAGTTATCTGTCTGATGATCCCTCAAATTCCACACCTAATAATCTAAACTATCATTGAGGACATCTCTAATGAAATTAACTAATAACTTATATTTACTTTATCATTATTCTATGTTATTTCATTTATCCCATATATATATATATATATATATATATATATATTGGTAAAATGCTGGTGTCATAAATTTTCATGTGAAGCAACAAATATATTTTAAAAAAATGGCCCTGCTCAAAGGTTTTGCATCTCAATGTGGTAAGCAGAGAATGGTGATGTAATATGATTATTACATTTTGAGAAACTGGATTAGCAGGTTCCAGACACAGAGGTGTGTGTGTGTATAAGTCAACTGCCAAGGTACTATGCAGATTCTGAATTATTGGGAATTCATAATTTAGTTAATAATTTTAGACCATAAGCAAAACTAAAAAAAAGTTAAAATGTACTTTGATTTGCTGACCTTTTAATTAAAGTGAACTTGTAATCAAAATGTTTACTTATTTAAATACGCTCCAAATATATTGAATACATGATCTATCACAGAGATACATTATATATTCTCTGTAAATGTTCAATAACTACTAACCACAGTTCCAACATCACCATTTTCTTAGTTTCGTGGGTATTACTCTTCATGGAATACCCACCTTCATTTTGCCCATGCTCCATCTCAGTCCTCTTTTATTTGCCCTGCTTGGGAACGCTTCCCCAGCAGGGAAATCCGGTTGTTTGATACCGACATGCTGATTTTGTTTCAATATTCCCTAGCCAGTGCTAAAAGCGTAACAACCACGTTACATACTGTGGTTGCTATGCTTAGAAAGCAGAAGGACGGACCACCAGTGGGGAGGTCCTTTCTGCTCTCCATTGTCAGTCAATTTTTCAATATAGAGTGTATGCCAAAGATTTGACGGACAGGTGGGAGAAAGACCTCATTTTAAATAGTTTTTTTTTTATTTATTTATTTTTTTTTTTTTTTAATTTATACATTTGCTAGAAAATCTATGTATATACAGAATTTTATGCTCTTTGAAAAGACCATTCGAATAATTCAGTGTAAATTCTAGATTTCCCTGTTTAGAAATGTTAATTTATTGCTTTAAAACTAACACAATTCACATGTTTTTAACATCTACAAATAGTTAAATATTGTGAGTAAAATGGGGCATTTAAATAATTAGATATATTTTAACAAAATGTATCTAACATTATTTTTTTTGTTTTGAACAATCTGTGGTTGGCAAAATCCCTAATAATAAGGGACACTATAGTCACTCAGACCACTTCAGCTCAATGAAGTGGTCTGGGTGCCAGGTCCCTCAGGTTTTAACCCTTCACATGTAAACATAGCAGTTTCAGAGAAACTGCTATGGTTACATAGCAGGATTAATCCAAACTCTAGAGGCTGTCTTCCTGACAGCCGCTAGAGGCTCTTCTGCGACGCTAGATGCGAAATTCGCATCCAGCGTGCATATCGTCCATAGGAAAGCATTGAGAAATGATTTCCTTTGGACTGTTTGAATGCGTGCGCGGGAGTCCCCCAAGGATGACATAGTGTCAGGAAAACAGGTTTGTTTTCCTGACACTATAGTGATCCTTTAACTTTCTGATGTCAGAATAGTGAAGTGCAGATTGTCCCTGATATCAGGTTCACAATTAAGCCTGACTTGATTTTATGCAACTGCTGTCATTCTTGGTATTGACAAAGTTTCCTAAATATGAAGTTTTTTTAAAGGGACATTCATGGCAGCTAAAAAAAGTTAAGCTTAAATTAAAGCTATTAAGCTCAAAATACACATGGTTAGTTTATTTTCTTTTTTTTTTATTATGTGTAGCTTTCCTGCAGTGCTATAAAATGTTTTGCTATTTTCAGATGTGTAACCCAGCCTCCTTAGCCACCCCCATCTCACATTTCCACATGTTCCTGATTCACAGTCTCTGAAAGAAACGTACCTTTTTTGCAGGCAATGAAAATAGAGATGTCAGGATACACTAATATGCCCAACACACATAACTTAAGTAACAAATAAATGAAACCCTAAGACGTATTAACGGGCCTTAGAACGGACGGATTTAACGTATAAAAGGAAAAACACAAGACAGGCTGAAGTCAAGAATACAGATATAGAGTAAACGGTATGTAAGGGTCAAGGAATTTCGAAGTCAGAATAGTCAGGAGCCATGCCAAAGGTCAAGGGATACAAAGATCAGAATAGTCCATAAGAAAGCCAAGGTCAAAATACACAAGAAACAATACCAGAAATCCGCTCTCGGATAACCTGAATGGAAACAACGACAGGGCACAGAGAAATGGACAAAAAACGTTTAAATAGCCTAAGGTGCTCCTTGATTGGCTGCAGGGAAGCATGTGACAGTGATCGTGTGTACACGTTCCAAATGGTTAGGCACAAGAAGGGTTAATTATGAACCTTAAAAGGTTCTAACTTGCAACGGCCGGTGTTTCTAATGTTTACAGACCTGGACACTGTGTAAGGGGAGGAGTGTGTGTCTGTGAAGCCGGGGGGCATCGCAGGAGGAGGTGTGTAATCTGTGGCGTTCCCATTGCCATGTGGGAATGCCGCCGCAACAGGATGCGCCCGCCGGGTCCCAGTCCACTCTCTGGCAGGAGTGGACCTGGCTGGCATCTTGACATAAGGTGAGTATTCGGTGGCATTCCCCTTGCGATATGGGAATGCTGCTGCAACGATATGTGCTGCCAGACAGTCACGCACGCAGTCGCGCCACACACACACAGTCGCGCCACACACACACACAGTCGCGCCACACACACACACAGTCGCGCCACACACACACACAGTCGCGCCACACACACACACAGTCGCGCCACACACACACACTGACCTGCTTCTTACCTCCACAACCCTTGGAACTCCTGGAGGCTGGTTGTTGGGGAAGCAGGGACTCCTTCCCGCCGCACACTAGGCTCCGCCCCCGCCGCAACGTTAGCTCCACCCCGCCGCCATTTTTTAATTATTTTTTTTTATGATGCCGGCCATGTGTGAGCTATGCCGGCCGCCTGGCTCCCCCTGCTCCCATGGGGCTGCACAGCTCACACATGGCCGGCCGGGATTACAGGAGCCTGATCGCTGTTAAGGGCTGTCAGCCCAGCCCCAGGTGCCGCGGCCCACCGGGAAATTTCCTGGTATCCCGGTGGGCTAATCCGGCCTTGTCTGTATGTTTGTATGGATTCAGCAGTCTGTGTGTGTGTTTATGGATTCAGCAGTCTGTGTGTGTGTGTGTATGGATTCAGCAGTCTGTGTGTGTGTGTGTGGATTCAGCAGTCTGTGTGTGTGTGTGTGTGTCAGCAGTCTGTGTGTGTGTGTGTGTATGGATTCAGCGGTCTGTGTGTGTGTGTATGGATTCAGCGGTCTGTGTGTGTGTGTGTATGGATTCAGCGGTCTGTGTGTGTATGGATTCAACGGTCTGTGTGTGTGTATGGATTCGGCAGTCTGTGTGTGTGTGTATGGATTCAACCCGATTCTGTGTGTGTGTGTGTATGGATTCAACCGGTCTGTGTGTGTGTGTGTATGGATTCGACGGTCTGTGTGTGTGTGTATGGATTCAGCGGTCTGTGTGTGTGTGTGTGTATGGATTCAACGGTCTGTGTGTGTATGGATTCAATACGGTCTGTGTGTGTATGGATTCAGCGGTCTGTGTGTGTGTGGATTCAGCGGTCTGTGTGTATGGATTCGGCGGTCTGTGTGTGTGTGGATTCAGCGGTCTGTGTGTGTGTGTGGATTCGGCGGTCTGTGTGTGTGTGGATTCAGCGGTCTGTGTGTGTGGATTCAGCAGTCTGTGTGTGTGTGTGTGTATGGATTCAGCGGTCTGTGTGTGTGTGTGTATGTGGATTCAGCGGTCTGTGTGTGTGTGTGTGTATGGATTCGGTCTGTGTGTGTGTGTATGGATTCAGCGGTCTGTGTGTGTGTGTGTGTGGATTCAGCGGTCTGTGTGTGTGTGTGTGTATGGTTCGGCGGTGTGTGTGTATGGTTCGGCGGTCTGTGTGTGTGTGTGTGTGTATGGATTCAGCGGTGTGTGTGCATGGTTCAGCGGTCTGTGTGTATGGTTCAGCGGTCTGTGTGTGTGTGTGTGTGTATGGATTCAGCGGTCTGTGTGTGTATTGTGTGTGTGTATGGTTCGGTCTGTGTGTGTGTGTATGGATTCGGCCGGTCTGTGTGTGTGTGTGTGTATGGATTCAGCAGTCTGTATGTGTGTGTGGACTCAGCAGTGTGTCTGTGTGTGTGGACTTAGCAGTGTGTCTGTGTGTGTGGACTCAGCAGCCTGTGTGTGTGTGTGTATGGACTCAGCAGTCTGTGTGTGTGTGTGGACTCAGCAGTCTCTGTGTGTGTGTATGGACTGTATCAAGGGAAATGTGTTTGTTTTTTTAATAATCCTTGGTGGGAAATAATGAATTCTCCACCAGGTATTATTAAAAAACAAAACAGAAAAAAACCACACACATTGTGTCGGGGGCGGTGCTTAACATGCGGCAGTGGCGGGGTCAAACTGCTGTGAGGGCGGGGTTAAATGTGCCTCCCTACTTTTGTCCCTAGCCCCCCCTAAAAATGAATCCTAGAGACACCACTGCTCTTTATATTTATTTATAATAAACATATGAAATATATGATATCTAATTTGGTGAGGAAATGTTTGTGTGTGAGGTGATTTGTAAGTTCTAGTGTCTGAATGTTGATGACTCCGGGAAGGCTTGGGCTGGCATTGTGGGCATGTCTTGAGCGGAGTGAAACTCAGTAAGGTGTGTCATTACTGATTCTCATAGAGAATCACTGGAGCATGGCCATTATGGACAGTCTGGCTGAAATACAGGAAGCAGGGAGAAAGCAAAGGGGGATATGACAGGCAATCAAAGGAAGAGCAGAAAATCTGATCAAAGTAAAGATTAAAACAGGTACTTCTAAAGCTCATTTTTACACTATTTAGAGAATAAAGCATTTAGTGACACTAGGTTTACTGTTTATGGGGGGGATATGTCCATACAGGTCCTTAAAGTAAATTAATTCCCAACTATGAACACTTTTTTTTTTTAAATGGTATGGTAAAAAATACTCCCTGCCATTCTACTTAAGTACTAAGAAAAAAATTAAACTAGCCACCTGTACAGAAATAAGAAGAAACCTCTGTGAACAATCGACAAATGTGAGAAAATACATTGCAAATATTTAAATTTACTACCTTTTATTTACAGACACCATAAAAATAAATCCGACATCACTGACATGGTACGATCAGCAAACGTGATCACTGCTAACAAGGCAGAAATGCTTCCCATCTCTAAATTTGGGCTTCGTGACAATTTGATTAAATCTGAGCTGCTCAAGAAAGAACAAACCTACACTTCAATCCAGAATTACAGGTAACCAGTGGAGTTGTTAGTTCCTCGACTTTATAGACTTTGACAAGATATTGTTAAAGGATTACTCCAAGCACACACAATCCTGCTGTATCTCTTTCAAAAAAAATGCTAAGTACTAAAAAAAAAAAATGTTATCTTTATGAAGCGGTTTTGGTGCACAGATGCTGCAATTTCACAAAGTGAGAAACATTTCTCATAAATTGGAATGTTTACATGTTTAATCTTAATTAAATTTCAACATGTTGTGCTAGGAAATACTCCAATAAGAGGATTCACGTTGAGAACAATCTGTGCTGCAGCAGCAAGCGCACATGTGATTGTATCTTTCCAATTTTTCTCATTAAGCTGTAATGCACCTTCGAGGAAGACACCTTCCTGGCTTTCTGATCGTTTACATTTAAAAAAAAAAATTTTTTTTTTATCTCTTTGAACTGATATACCAGCTATTGAGTTTCCCGGTATTATCTCAATATTTTATCATTTCATCATGTAATTTCCCCCTAATGTTGTATTGTTTCCTGCTCTTTTGAGTCTATACAGAACAGTTGTGCTCAAATGTTTGCATACCCTGGCAGAAATTGTGAAATTTTGGCATTGATTTTGAAAATATAACTAATCATGCAAAAAAAATATTTTATTGAAGAACAGTGATCGTTAAATCTCTCCCTCTGATAATATGGTAAAGCACTACAGAATATGCTATCACTATATAAATACTAGTAATATTATAATATAAAGCCATGTATTATGACATAGTTGTTTTGGTCCTTTTTAAATCCTAATGATAACAGAAATCACCCTAATGGCCCTGATCAAAAGTTTACATACCTTTGAATGTTCCACCTTGTTACAGGCACACAAGGTGACACACACTAGTTAAAATGGCAATTAAAGGTTAATTTCCCACACCTATGGCTTTTTAAATTGCAATCCTTGTCTGTGTATAAATAGTCAATGAGTTTGTTAGCGCTCACTTGGATGCACTGAGCAGGCTAGACACTGAGCCATGGGGAGCAGAAAAGAACTGTCAAAAGACCTGCATAACAGGTTAACAGAACCATATAAAAAGATATATCCAAAACCTTGAAAATGCCAGTCAGTACTGTTCCATCACTTATTAAGAAATTGTATATTCAGGGATCTCTTGATACCAAGCCAAGGTCACATAGATTAAGAAAGGTTTCAGCCATAACTGCTAGATTAATTGTTTGGGATACAAAGAAAACCCCACATGTAACCTCAGGAGAAATACAGGCTACTTGAACAAAATTGAGCTGCATGGTCCAGAAAGAAGCCTTTACTGTGTCAATGCCACACAAAAAAAGCCTGGTTACAATACCAACAACACCTTGACATGCCTCACAGCTTCTGGCACACTGTAATTTGGAGTGACAAGACCAAAATAGATTTTTATGGTCACAGCCATAAGTGATATGCTTGGAGAGGGGTCAACCAGGCCTATAGTGAAAAGAATATTATCCACACTGTGAAGCTTGGTGGTGGCTCATTGATGTTTTAGGGGTGTGTGAGCTCTTAAGGCACGGGGAATCTTGTGAAAATTGATGGCAAGATGAATGCAGCATGTTATCAGAAAATACTGGCAGACAATTGGCATTCTTCTGCACAAAGGCTGCAATTCGAACACTCTTGGACTTTCCAGCCTGACAATGACCCTAAGCATAAGGCCACGTTGAACCTCCAGTGGTTACAGCAGAAAAGGGTGAAGGTTCTGGAGTGGCCAGTACAGTCTCCTGACCTTAAAGGGACACTATAGTCACCAGAAGAACTACAGCTTAATGTAGTTATTCTGGTGAGTATATTTATTGCCTTCAGTTATTTTCATGTAAACACTGCCTTGTTTAAAATGACTAGTAACGTCATTGTTGGAGGCGTTGTTAATTAGCTTCCTAACTCTGGACCCGGCTGCTGATTTACAAACTGCACGGAAGGAGAGGCTCTGGAGGTGAGGTGAGTTGAGTTTAGTGTGACCGCACTGATCAGTGCGGTCACATTGTGGTGCGATCGGGCACTGTGATAGTCTGACTGCACCGATCTGGTGCGCTCTAGTTGAGGTGCCGATCAGACATTAACAGAGGTAATTTAATTTGTTGCCATGTTTGCTTTTTGATTGTGCCATTCTGTTATAACCTACAGTTGAATATGGACCCCATAAGAAATAAAAGAAATATGTTTTGCCTGCTCAATCATGTTTTCTTTAAACATGGTACCTATATTACCAATTCTACAAGGGTATGCAAACTTGTGAGCATAACTGTACATATTCTATTCTGGCCGAGCTGAAAGCGCTACAGAATCTTGTACTAGACTTCGATATTTGTTTTCATTTGTGATATCGGGTGGGGGGCTCTTGAATAAATTGAGTAGGGTGGGGCGCAGTTGAGGACCCTAAATAATAAGAGGGGACACGTCCCCACTCATTGGCGTCGGGTCCTTTATAATAAGTGCCCCAAGTTGCTGCCAGTGGGTGGGGGCTAGGAAGGACAATAGGTCCACCCCCCATTATAGTTTTTGGCTCCCACCCGTTGCCAATGTGGGCATTATTATTTGTCACACAATCCACCGTCTATGTCCCCCCCCTTTCAATTTATTTAAGAGCCCCTGGAGGAGGACACAGATCTTGCATTTATTCTACTAGCCCCATTCTAGCTCTGTATTATCCCATAGTAAATGGGGCTAGGCAAACTTTGCCACACCAAGTACTGTGGAATAAATCAGGCTGGCAGATCCTAATAGAAGATGTTGTTGACTAAAAGAGGTTACCTACTCTTTAATAGAAGATGTTGACTAAAAGATTTTTGCACAGACCCCTGTGGATATATATAGCAAAGCTGAACTTTTACTTTGTGTACAGGTTTTTTGTCGGAACATACAATGTAAATGGACAGTCTCCAAGGGAAAGCTTGCAGCCGTGGCTTTGTGAAGGCTTGGAACCTCCGGATGTATATTGTGTTGGGTATGTTAATATATTTGCTTTTATAATGGCAATACATGGAATATAGATTTTTTTAACATTAGTCATTGAGCTTGAGTTTGGTTTATTTTTTATTACATTCTAACAAAAAAGTGAGGCTACTATAAGGACATTTGGGGGAAGAGTGTTTGATATTAAAAGGAGGAAATGTGATCCAAAATAATAACAGGTGAAAATTACCTTTTTATTTATTTTTTTATTTAATTTTCTGCCATTCATATAGTGTGGATCAAAGGGGTGTAGATCTAAAATAGCATGTAAGAAATGGGTCACCGAATAAAATAGTGATAAGTGCTCTATTTGTAAAATGTAGTGTCCATATAATGGGAAATAACTTGCTCTTGTGTAGCCAGATTTAAAAGAAATGTCAGTGCTGTATAATAATGGGGGATGGACCTATTGTCAATTTAGTGCCCCAAGTTGCCGCCAGTGGGTGGGGGCTAGGAAGGACAATAGGTCCACCCCCCATTATAGTTTATGGCTCCCACCCATTGCAAATGGGGGCATTATTATTTGTAGCACCATCCACCATCTATGTCCCCTCCCCACCCTTTCAATTTATTTAAGTGCCCCTGGAGGAGGACACAGGTCTCGCGTTTATTCTAATAGCCCCATTCACGAGGCATCTTCTAGTGATCTTCTATAATCACCAAGCTGTGGACACAATCCAAATACAGAATTGACCTGTATATTATTGCATCAGGTAAATTTAAAAACTCTTTTATTAATATTTGAGTGTCTACAAAGACTTGAAAAACTTCAACTAAAGAACTGTGTACACCTGATACCCCAAAGAGAATGATAAATAGAATCTTGTACTAGACTTCGATATTTGTTTTCATTTGTGATATCAGGTGGGGGCTCTTGAATAAATTGAGTAGGGTGGGGCGCAGGTGAGGACCCTAAATAATAAGAGTACGAATTCTCACATCTCAAATTAAGATAATGAACTATGTTGCCTGGGACTATTGTGCATGTATGTTCTTTACTCACTGGATTACGAAAAGAGTGCCGAGGATTGAACACTGGGCATGCTTCAACTGCATGTGTGTATCTGTAAGACTTAGAGGTGTCTCCATGAGGAAAATGATGCATGCTAGTCTATTTCCATTATCAATTTTTATGCTTGGGTTGACTATTTCAGAATCCTATCTAACCAGTTTTGTTCAAAGAGTGGATAATAGTGATTGCAACCTATAGATTAGCCACTTACATGCGTATTCATTAAACACAGGATTTTGTCTGGATGAATTAAAAAGTATAGGATTTGAAAGATTCACCAAGTAACAATGACTTCCCTGGGCCCCACCTCATGGCACAGCGTGGGGGGCCTTGGTTATAATATTCAGAGGGAGGACCTGTTGTCCTCACCCTGCCGCTACCCTTTGGTGTCGGGTGGTGGTCTTTTTATAAACTAGGTGCCTAGTTTTCTACACCAGCCTTCACCCATTAGCACTGACCACTGGTGGAGGCATGGGGATGTTAGGACCTCCCCTTTTTTAAATTTTATTTTTATTAGATAGCCACCACCCACTGGCCATAGTTTGAGACAGAAAGTGGACTGATAACAGATTACAATTATTTGAACAATGTCCAGATTTTGCAATTTTTGCAATCCAGATTTTAGTGAATAACTTAGTCTGTTGGAAAAAGATCTAACGCAGGGTTTGGACAAATCAATAATACAATTAGGAGATAAACAGCCAAATATGTAAGCCAGGAGGAGTTAAATCCTTATGAGATCTCTACCAATTTCATTACATATTTCAGTATGCCAGGTTCTGTGTACTATTATCACAATTCTCAACAATCAACAGTATGAAACTAGAAAGGGTTCTAGCAGTATCACCGAAATACAAGAACAAATAGAAACACGGGCTTCTAAAAAAATCACACAAATGTGTTGCTAAAAGATCTAAACAGACTTATATCCTCAGGTGTTACATATTTTGTGTAGACACCACTTATGTATTAATCTTGAAAGTATTTAGACATGCTCAAAGTGACAAAAGGTCAGTGAAAGACAATACTTATATAGTGTGTAGATACTGATATATGATACAAAGAATTTATCATTCTCTCTTAGCTTCCAGGAGCTTGATTTAAGCAAGGAAGCTTTCTTTTTTAATGACACGCCCAAGGAGGAAGAGTGGTTCAAAGCTGTGTCGGAAGGGCTGCATCCTGGAGCAAAATACGCAAAGGTACAGGTGGTATTTGAACAAAGGGGCATAGAATGTGGAAACTGCAGAAAAACCTTATTAGGTTGGGGTAAATGGGATTGAAAACCTGTTCCTTTACTTTCCTTTTCAGTGTGCACTAATGTTTTTTTGAACTTTGGGGTCATGCAAAATGAGGCCTTCTTAATACTCCTTACTATTGTTCAAACACTCCGATTATTGTCCTGGACTGAAAGCAGACACACGATGCAGAGGTAGAGGTTTAAAGCACAAACTTAGTTTAGTTCTATTTTAACCATCAGACAGTAAATTAGGAAATAAGGCCATGTGGTTAGAAATACTTAAGATGGGAGGAACATTAAACTGTCACTAAGCAGGATTTTTATTATGCTTACTTTGTCTCATTTACGAGGTCTGCAAATTTAATGTTTAAACCAGCACTTCTGTATTTAACTCCATCCTATAACTGAATGCCTTCATCTTCACTCACTGACAATCATAGTTATAAGCTTCACCCTTTGCACCTGTCAGTCACCATAGAATGAGGAGGAGAAACAGAAACAATGTTTGTGTCTTCTGCGTCAATACAATGTGTGCCCTAGCAGTGTATGTACTGAGCAGGATGGTGACGCTTAAGCTTTAAAATACTATTAGATCATACAATTAAATGATGTGCTGTATATTAAACATAAAATATAGGGGGGCAGGGCATGACCGCCATGCTGAAAGGCTGCACATGGAGTGAGCTCTGTGAAAATTCTTGAATTTATGCATCTTATTGCAGCTGTATACCTGCTCACACGCACACCACGAGTGCAGGGGACACCCTACACTCAGCATTGCCAACATCTGCAGATTTTTACCGCCAGACAAGCAGTCTACACTTGAAAAGCCTCTGCGACCTGCCTGAGAGTTCAGGCGTGGGAGATGCTGCCAAACCCCCCAGCTGGTATTATGGCTTAAATTAAAGAAGGCGGAAGAGCTCCGGTTTCCCCCATATCCTGGCACCAGCAATTCGACTCTACCTACCTGCTACAGGAGGGACTGTGACTCTGCTAGCACCTTGGCTGTACAAAATCTGTGACACCGATCAAGCTAAAATGTTGGACGCCTTGCATGTCTCTACCGAACTGGATCTGCTGGAGACCAGCTTAACGCTGCTAGACAAGATATTTGCTGACTTCTGACTGAAATTAAACGATGAGCAACGGCAAACCGAGGAGCTCAGAAGGAGCTACAGCTTATCGCAGAACTCACCTGCAGGCATTCAATGCACCATATCTGCTGTAGTGAGGCAGGCCGCTCTCACACTCACCGCCCGAAAAAGCAGGTGAAGATATCACACTCGGCACAAATTGGGAAAGAACAGAGATGCTGGGGCAAGAAAATGAGCCGACCCACTTCGGGCAATACATACTCCACCTGCCCACCCAGACTGAGGGCAAAAAGGGGCTTGCCCCCACGACACCGACCACACTAGCAGAGGCCCAAGGGCTCAAATAGGCCTCAGACCATCCAGGACATCCGGAGCACCTCACAAGGCATGGGGCTTGGCCTTGACAAGCAACAGAGTCTGTGGCACAGAGGTGAAGGCCCTGATACAGTCTCTGGATAAGAGAAAGATACCCTCTTGGCATACATATGCTCTCTTTAATCCGAATGCCAGGAAATCATAGTTAAAAAAATAAGTCCCACTGATATATTTAATGCCCCTGGAAACTGCATTCTTACTGCTAGTAGAGACAGTAGGCGTGTATTCGGGCAAGAATTGTGTAGAATTGAAAAGGAAATTGCAAGCCATAGTCCAAATTAGCCAATTTGGAAAAAAATTCTATTTGCCCTGCAATTTGCAGTTCAGATATCAATTCACTATAATTGCTAGTCTAGTGACCCCATTAGAAATCAGATTTCAAGTTTGACAAATGTGTTAAAGGCAGATAATATGTACTCCATATTATATTCCAGTAACTGTTTTAATGTCTGTTACTATGACATCCTCCAAATGCATGCACTTGTCTTCTTTGGATAGATCAAACTAATCAGACTGGTTGGAATCATGCTGCTACTCTATGTCAAGAAGGAACTGGCCGTTCATGTTTCAGAGGTTCATGCGGAAACTGTGGGCACTGGAATTATGGGCAGGATGGTGAGTGTGGCAACAATAAGTCTTCCTAGTAATGTCTCAGATATTCAGAATGTTCAGCCATTCAATAGAAATTGATAGTTTGTAATATAGTTGTTACTAATGTTAGACAGCAGACTATAATCATACTTTTAACATAGTATATTAATATTGTAATACTTATTACGAAACTATAATAAGCCTTTCATTAAAGCTGCTTTGTCACTTTTTTTCAAAGGGACACTACAAGCATCTAAAACACTACATTTCAGTATTTTTGTTTTCAATAGGAATTTTTCAAAATTAACCTTGTTATATCCCCCATGGCTGTCAGACAATCGATCCTGCTACATCCTCAGTGGAGCTAAACTCAAGAGGCAGCAACTGAGCATTCTCATTAAAGGAACACTATAGTCACCTAAATTACTTTAGCTAAATAAAGCAGTTTTAGTGTATAGATTATTCCCCTGCAATTTCACTGCTCAATTCACTGTCATTTAGGAGTTAAATCACTTTGTTTCTGTTTATGCAGCCCTAGCCACACCTCCCTGGCTATGATTGACAGAGCCTGCATGAAAAAAAAACTGGTTTCACTTTCAAACAGATGTAATTTACCTTAAATAATTGTATCTCAATCTCTAAATTGAACTTTAATCACATAGAGGAGGCTCTTGCAGGGTCTAGCAAACTATTAACATAGCAGGGGATAAGAAAATCTTAATTAAACAGAACTTGCAATAAAGAAAGCCTAAATAGGGCTCTCTTTACAGGAAGTGTTTATGGAAGGCTGTGCAAGTCACATGCAGGGAGGTGTGACTAGGGTTCATAAACAAAGGGATTTAACTCCTAAATGGCAGAGGATTGAGCAGTGAGGCTGCAGAGGCATGTTGTATACACCAAAACTGCTTCATTAAGCTAAAGTTGTTTAGGTGACTATAGTGTCCCTTTAAAGGGACACTATAGTCACCAGAACAACTACAGCTTAATGTAGTTGTTCTGGTGAGTTTTATCATCAGGGCCTTCTTTAAGGAGGGGCAAAGGATTGAGCAGTGAGGCTGCAGGGGCATGTTCTATACACCAAAACTGATTCATTAAGCTAAAGTTGTTCAGGTGACTATAGTTCCCTTTAAGCTGCATTTGGAAGTCTGTGATTGAACAGCCACAGAAAATCTGGCAGGGGAGGAAGGGGCTCTTGCAAGCTGTTTTTAGATATAATCTCAAAGTATATATTTTTTTAATTTTTTTTTATATGGGCATTTGGGCATTGGTGTGTCCCTTTTAAAAACAGTTGTTAAAAATACACAAATAGTTTCTATGATTTCTGCTCTTGTTGTTCTTTCAATTACCTGGGCACTCCTTGTCTTAATTAACCCCTTAACTCAGCGTGTATGGCATGCCATCCTACCTAAAGTGGGCTTTTAAGCCTGTAGGACAGCACAGAACGTCCTGCATATTTGATGTGTGCAGGGTTAAATTCCCGCCCAGACCTGGGAACCCCAGATAACAATGGATACTTGGGGCTCCCCCTGTCTGCTGGGGTCATTTACAGGCCCCAGACTTTTAGATGACCTGTTTGCTGTGCTTGAAGCCAGTACTGCAAGCAGCTCTTTAAATGGGCGTTTAAATGATGTGAAGATTGCGGTGTGAGCAAATTTAAATCCCTGCTTCACCACTAACAGCAGGTTTCAATGGATGCATGGAGCTCCCCTTAATGTGTTGGGGCTAATTTTAGTGGCCCCAAACTTTTTGATCAGCTCCTTGAAGTGCTGGAAGTAATTCTTTAAAACATTTTTGTGCAGATCATGGTGTGAGCAGGGTTATATGACATGGACACTGGCTTCTGTAAGCCAGCTGGGTCAATTTTTAGTTGCCCCAGGCTGTCAGATGAGCTCTGTGCAACGCTAGAAGTCTGCACTGCACAGAGCCCTTTATATTCAATTATAAATCCGCAGCTGAGCGATTGCGCTCGGCTGCTGTTTTTGTGTGGTGCAGCCTGCTCAGGAGAGACCCTACAGGATCTGAATAGAGACTGACAGGGTTAACCAGCCTATGGACCAGTGCATGGCTTTGACAGGTTCCCAACACCAATGTCAATATATGTGGCTGGGAATCAGGCTTATTCAGAATTTCACTAGTACAGTAGTACAATAGTATACTACTTTCTCTGTATATATCCTATGCCTGACATGTCTAGACACTGGGCGGAGCTACCACCGTCAAGAAGTGTCAATCTTCCCAGCCATCATCCGTGATGGCTGCAGGGAATTGGCTCGGCCTATGGAGGGTCTCAGGGGATGTAATGGGAACAATCCAGGTCAGTACAAAAGGAGAGTTTTTGAGATTTACTGATTACAGCTTAGTTCTTGGAAAATTAAACACATAACGAGATAGAGAGAGATATATATATATATATATATATATATATATCTCTATCTAATATCATTGTTTATTTATTTTGCTTGACTTGATCAAAGTATTGTACCTGCTTGACAATCTAACCAAAAATAATTTTGCAGGGTAATAAAGGAGGTGTTGCCATCCGTTTCCGATTTCATAATACAAACCTGTGTGTTGTAAACTCCCACCTGGCTGCTCACGTTGAAGAATATGAGAGGAGAAATCAGGATTTTAGAGAAATTTGTTCTCGAATGCAGTTTCCCCAAGAGGACCCAACACTTCCTCCTTTGTCCATCCACAAACATGAGTGAGTTTCTCTTTTACAACATCACAACCTTTTTATGGTGGGGTTTTAAACATAATGGGGATTATACGCTAAACTGGATTGTAGTGGAGCATGGACAAGGGAATTTTAGACTTGCATAACTGAACTGGAAACCTGTTGGAGATTTTTACCATTTCCTAGACTGTTCAATTCTCTTGCCAATCTCAATTATTCATAGTTCAATAAACAAAGTTCAACACTTTTTACATTCACAAGACTTTTAGTTGAATTAAAAGTGAAAACATTTCATTGTAAACGTAAAGGATAACTGTAGTCAAATATTGTGATTAGATAAACTGCTTACATAACAACATGTTATGTATTGTGTCCATCAACCGTTTTATGTATATCATGCTATAGAAGGTTGTGTGCATAATGTCCTTGCATGAATAAGCACAAACAAAAAATAGTTTTGGATGGTCTTTCCTCAGAACGATGTCTTGCTTTATATATGTGTCTGTTTTTTTTTGTTTTGTTTTTTTTCTGACAGTCTCCCTTTATCTCATTCTTATATATGTTTACTTCTTTCTATCTCTGTCTGTTTGCCGGTCTAAAAGTGGGCAAACGCTATATCTCTTATATATCCATTAGCTAGAAGTTTTGGTGTGCTTCATCAAGGTCTTGAGATTGAACTCTCTATTCATATCCATATATGCTTGTTTCTGTCCCAACCTTGCTCTGTTTATCTGGCTAAGAGAGATCTAAGGTTAGGTACAGAGATGTTATTGAACGATAACTCACATGACTTTCTGACATCTAAAAGGTGAGATAGTGACATGTCTGCCTGTCTATCTATCTCTGCCCACCTGTGCCTCTCTGTCTGTACCTCTGCTTGTTTTATCTATATTGTTTTCTTGTCTGTCTCTGTATCCATTATACATAACCGTGAACTGGCTCTTTTGGAAACGGTTATTGAGGGGTTCTGGAAACATCAGACTAAACCACAAGACCAAATGTTGAGTGAGTTACAAATGTCTTCAAAATCCTGACATGGCTTTATTTTCCCTATTATTTTTGCAGTTATGCATCCTTTTATATTAAGTGATATTTTTAGGTTTGAGTTGGTGTTAAAAGGTTACTTCAGCCATCATAACCTCTACAGCAGGCATGTCAAACACACGGCACGCTGGCCGCATGCGGCCCACAACTAATGTTTGCGGCCCGCGGCGATGGAGCGTTGTGCGTAAGCTCTCCCTACTCAGCTCCCTGCAGTGATGCCGGGAGCCGGAATATGACATCACTCCGGCTCCCGAGGTGCTTGTGAGGGAGCTGAGCAGGGAGAGCTTAAACTCCATGCTCCCTCACTGCCTGTCTGCCCCCAGTCTGCCTGTCCAGTAGCCCTACTAGACCTCAGGTAAGAAATCCACCCAGCCTTTGGTGGATTAAAATTATTATTATTATTTTTTTTTTTTTTTAATCTAAGTGGGAAATGTGTGTATGGCTCTATCCATGGCTGGCTGTGTGTGTGTGTGTGTGTGTGTGACTGTGTGTGTGTGTGTGTTTCTGTGAGGGAGCCTGTGTGTCTGTCAGTGTATGTGTGTATCGGAGTGATTCTGTGTGAATGTCAGTGAATGTGTTTGAGGGTTTCACGGAGTAATGGGAGGATCTGCTTTTTTTAAGGTGCAGATGGGGCCATTGGGGATATACCAGAGGCCGAACTCCGGACACTGCTTGTTGGCTAATGTGTTTTTTTTGTTTTGTTTTTTTAAAACCTGGGCAGGGGTGTAGTAGATGAGGGGGGGGCTGGGGTTTAGTAGATCAGAGGGGGGGGCTGGGGTTTAGTAGACATGGGACAGGTGGTTTAGTAGAGGGGGTCGCTGGGTTTTTTTTATACTGTACTTTTCAAAATAAACCTACGTTTCTATGAAAATTTAAGTTTTTTTTTTTTTGTTTGTTTTTTTTTGCGGCTCACATAAACTTAAACATTGTTTATTTGGCCCTTGCTAGCCTTTGAGTTTGACATGCTTGCTCTGCAGCCTATGATGCCATGAGTACCCTGGTAATGGGGCAAACCGTTTGCAATGATCTGCCCTCTTATCTGGATCTGCCCGAACCTTCTATTCTGTTAAGTGACATGCATCAGCAGAGTTGCCGTAACATGATGGCAATTCCATTATTCATTCATTGGCTTAGAGCATCAGCCTATCGCTCTTAGCCAATGAATGACACTCTGTGCATAGAAATATACACAGGTTTGACATTATCCAGCCTTGAACACTTGCTTCCCACTAACTAATCATGCTACTGGAGGTGTAGTTACATTCAGGCAACAAAAAGGTTATAAATTTATGTGCACATATAGACTCAAATCTCAATGACCACTTGGAAAACCTGAAGTGGTCATGGTGCTTGGAGTCACCCTTTAAGGTGACATAGCGATATTGTTTAGTGTTCGTGTAGTGCATGGGTCGTCAACCTGGTCCCTACCACTCACTAGTGGGCGTTTCGGGATTCCAGGTGGGCGGTAGGGACTTTGGAGGTTAAAACCTCCTTTTGTGCGCGAGTGAGCACACACATCAAGAAACCAGCGTGCGCGAGTGAGCGCACACATCAAGAAACCAACGTGCGCGAGTGAGCGCACACATCAAGAAACCAACGTGCGCGAGTGAGCGCACACATCAAGAAACCAACGTGCGCGAGTGAGCGCACACATCAAGAAACCAACGTGCGCGAGAATGCGTGTGGTAGGATTTTCGGAAGTCAAAACCTCCTTTTACGCGAGTGGGCGGGCGGTGCAGGCGGGCACGAGCGCACACATCAATCAACCTCCTTTTGTTCGAGAAGGGGTCGGGCGGGAGCGAGCGCACGCAAACACGTGGGAAGAGGAAGGGGAGGAGTGAAAACTGATAGCAGGGACAGGCAGAAACGGAGCAGAGCAGTTGCAAAAGAAAAGTTATAGGCAGGAGAAAGAGAATTGTTGGCTAATAATAATAAGTGGGCTAACTAGCTCAGCCTTACTTTTGTACCTCAGGAAGGTAAAAGAAAGGAGATAAAAAGGAAAAGATAAAAAAAAAAATAACAAAAGGAAGAAAAATAGAGAAAAGGGGATAAAATAAAGGAGGAGAGTAAGCAGTGTTTAGTCTGGCTCATAAATTAAGTTTTTTTTTATCTTATCAAATAAAAGAAAAAAATAAGTAAGGGAAGGAGAAAAAAAAAAAAAGGAAAAAGAGATCCTTGATATAGTGATATACTATAAGGAAGGTAAAGAGGCAGGCAGGAAAAGGGATTTCTTTTGATGGTGACATTTAATAAAAATTGGCACCTAATACAGCATTGTTTTTGGTGTTAGTAATAAAAGGGAAAAGAGGAGGGAAAAAAGCACTGTGTGGAGTGCAGATCAAAACGTAAGAGTAAAAGTAGTAATTACTTTTGTAATTTTGGCAGTGATGGATACCAAAAACTCTGGCAAAATAAAAAAAAATGCCTGCGTTATATCCAAATATGTGGAAAATGATGTTCAATTTATTGATACCTTTCCCTACCACATATCTTGTAGAATCAGGATTTAGTGCTGTTAATCATATTATGAGCAAACAGAGAAACCGTCTGAATATCAACGAAAGAGGAGACCTTCATTTGTTCCTTACGAAAATCGAACCAGATATCAAATATTTAGTCTCGCAGCATCAGCCTCAAGGATCTCACTAGTAAAGCTTTCAATTTACTTTGTTTTCTAATTAAACTTTATAAAGTTAAAAACATTATAAACATGCATTAAGTAGAAATAAAAAGATAAATGTACGTACATTTTTTTTTTTTTAAAACTCCCTCCTTTCTAAAAAATATTCTGCGTTTGCGCAAAAACTGGTGGGCGGTAAGGAAATTTTCCCATCAAGAAAGATGCATTAGTGGGCGGTAGGTAGAAAAAGGTTGACTACCACTGGTGTAGTGTGTTAATAAAATGCAGGAGTTAGGGTAATGTTGGGGTTAATGCTTAGTGTAGTGTAGAAGAGACGACTTTACTGTAAGGGCAGCACTGGGACATATGTGTCCCATGAGAATGCCTGAGAATAGTGAGAATTACAGTTTCTAGTGGCTGATTGGGAGTGTAACTCCCACTAATCAAGGCAGATCAGGATATGTAGAACCCCTAGTGTGCATGGAAGCGATTCTCCTTTATGGGAAATAAGCACTTGGATAGCGTCTACATCCATGGTGTATGGAACACACGCATAGTTACTGAATTCCTAAAATAAATGCACAGAGAAACAAATAAGCTGCCAGAACAACCAGTTGCAATTAATAAAATGGGGAAAAGAGCTAAATATTGAAATGTACTATAGTGAATGGGGAGAGACCTTAGTTAAGGTAAATAAGTGTACTCCTAATGTATCTTTGAGTGAAACCTTTTTCAAGGTAGCCAACAGGTGGTATCTTGTTCCTACAAGAATGGCTACTATTGATCCTAAATTATGTTGGAGATGTGAAAACATAATTGATGGTCTCAGCAGGAGACAGGGTAATGGAAATACATTTAAAATATGAGCTTTTATTAGTATTTAGGTAAGAATCACCTATTTTAATTGTATAACATGAGTCAAGCCATGGTTAAAAAAACAAAACAATACTATATTTGTCATGACAGGCTCACTTTAAAGCAGCACTTTCACCCATGCCTTTGCAAAATAAGTATTTCATAAATCAAGAATATTTATTGAATACTTATATTTACTGTTAGATTTTTACTGAAATTCCCAGTCAAAAGCTATATTGAGACAAAGGAAGAATTACTTGACACTGGGTGGAGCTGCCGCCGTCATATGTCAGGCGTCACCAGTAACGACCACAGGGCTATTGGCTCTGTTTATGCAGGATCCCGCAGGCCCTTGGGATCCTCCATAGACCCACTGGCGGATCCGGGGGGGGGCAACGGGGCAATTGCCCCCCCCCTCCCCCCCGAGAAATCCGCCGGTCTCCCTCTCCCTCCCCTGTCAGCACATGCAGGCGCTAGCCCTGCAATGTGCCTGCGGACCGGAAGGGAGATCACAGATCTCCCTCCCCGGTCCGCAGGCACTGTGCTGACAGCCGGCGGGGGAGGGAGAGGGAGGACCCGGGAGCTCAGTCTGTAGCTCCTCCGGGTCCTCCTCTCGCGAGATTTGGAGCGCGGCAACGCTCCAAATCTCGTGAGAGTGAACTCTAGCCCGGGAGCGCGGGCTAGAGTTCACTGTAACCACTGGGACCACCAGGGATGAAAATATGTCCCCCCTCCTCCTCAATAAAGGTAAGAAGGGAGGGGGGACATAGAATATTTGTTTTTTTTAATTAAATAGAGATAGATATTATAAAAAAAAGCCCCCCCCTACCCTTAACACACACACATAGCCCCCATACAGGGCCGGTGCTAGGATTTTTGACTACACAGGCGAAGATGCATTTTGACGCCCCCCCCCCCCAAAAAAAAATAAACAATGCATCTTCACCTCTGTGTCTCGTAGCCCCCTTTTGAATTTCTTACCCCCATTAGTGTTGCATATCCACTCTCTTGAATGTCTTACCCCTTTGGCCCCTTTGTGCCTTACACCCCCCTTTAGTGTGTCTCCTACAACCCCTATTATGTATTTCTTACTTCCCTGCCAGCCCCTATCTATCTCTCTTTTTCTCCCACATAGACATAGATACAGGCTAAAATACATACATGCACAAATACACAAACATACAGACACACAACCATACAAGCACACAGACATAATTTTTCAGGCACACAGTCACAAAGATATACAGACACACAGTCATAAAAGGCACACAAACAAACACAGTCATACAATCTACACATACAGGTACATTGTCGTACAAACACAGACATACATTCATACAGACACAGGCATTCACAGAAATACATACACAGACATAAAGAAACAGAGATAGGCATACAGAGACATACATACACAGACAAACAAAGAACCCTGCACACTGACACCGTGTAAATGCTCCGGCCATCAACAGAGGTGGATGCTCCATGTCAGGCAGACATTGCTGGATCCACCAGTAAAGTCTTCAAAAGGAATAAACGCAGGCAACACTCCAATAGTAAGGATGGTATATTTATTGGTAGGTGAACCACCCCATAGAAAGTGTGATGTTTCAGCTCATGCAATAAGGCTCTGCTGAGCCGAAACGACGCACTTTCTTTGGGGTGGTTCACCTATCAATAAATATACCATCCTTACTATTGGAGTGTTGCCTGCGTTTATTCCTTTTGAATACATACACACAGTCATACAGAGACATACATACTGTATGTCTCTGTATGACGGTCTGTGTATGTACACAGGATAGCTAAAAGATAGATCCCCATCTGTCGTGCAACTTCAACAATGCTTTGAAAGCTGGGGCTCTACCGATTCCCCATTCTTGCAGGATTGTATTTAGCATGGAGCAGTATTTGTGTGTTTGACTGTAAGCATGTGTTTGTATGGAGTATGTTTGTATGATTGTAGCGGTGTGTTTGTATGTAGTGTTTGCATTTGAATGCAAGCATGCATTTATGTGTAGTGTTGGTTTTTGAACGTAGGTGTGTGTTTATATATAATTTTGGTGTCTGATACAGAGGTGTGTTTGTATGTAGTGTTGACATTTGAATGCAGGGGTGTGTTTGTATGTAGTGTTGACGTTTGCATGTAGGTGTTTATTTGTGTGTAGTGTTGTGTTTGAATGCTGAGATATATGCACATATACACATACACTGCCACACACGCACACACGGTCATACACATACACAAAGATACACACACTGACACATGCAGATATACATATACACAAACTGATACACATTCAGATAGACACACAGGTACACACAAACACTGACAGACATACAGATAAACACACAGTGACATACAGACACACATACACAATGATAGGGAAGAAGACACACAAAGACACACTAACAGACAGACACACACACACTAACAGACATTTAGATACACACAGACACATGGACAGAGACATATACATACACACACTGACAGACATGGATGCACACACACACACTGACAGACATAGATACACACACACACACACTGACAGACATACACACACACACTGACAGAGATAGATACACACACACACTGACAGACATACACACACACACACTGACAGACATAGATACACACACACACTGACAGACATATACACACACACACACTGACAGACATAGATACACACAGACACACTGACAGACATACACACACACACACTGACAGACATAGATACACACAGACACACTGACCAACAGGTTCAGAAGGGGGGCTTACCTGGGATCCAAAGTGCTGCCTAAGGTAGTTGGGAGTTGGAGGAGCTGGTCCTGCCCAGCCCCCCTCCTCTCTGCCTTCTGCTGCTCTAGTCTTCTTGGGAGGACTTCCTCCCATGCTGAATAGAAGGGGGCCCGTAGCTCCGCCCCTGCTGGGCACCAGCCGCGCTGTGTGCTTCAGTGGGAGCAGGGATATGACGTTCATATCCCCGCCCCCTCCACACAGTCCGCGGCAATGCAGGTTGGCGCTGCTATAAGTAGCGGGACCGTGGAGAGGCGAAGCAAGCGCTTTCCAGGCTACTCGGGATATTTGCGCTGGCAGTGTTGCCGCTTGTGCTGCCAGAGGGATGCGCTGCTCTGCTCTATACTTCTAAGGCTGGCTACATACGCCCCTAATACACATACTGCCCCCATACACACACATACTGCCCCCCATGCTGCCCCCCCCCCATACACACACACATACGCCCCCAATACACATACTTGCCCCCCCATACACACATATACTGCCCACCATGCTACCCCCCCATACACACATATTGCCCCCATACACACATACTGCTCCCCATACACACATGCTGCCCCCCCCATACACACATGCTGCCCCCCTGCCCCAATGCACACATACTGCACATACTGCCCCCCATGCACACATACTGCCCTCATGCACACATACTGCCCTCCATACACACACACTGCCCCCCATACACACACACTGCCCCCATACACTGCCGCCCCATACACACGCATTGCCCACACTCACACACACTCTGCTACTGTTACACACACATGCTGTCCCACACATACACTGCATCCCTGACATACTCTGCCCCTCCTACTCACACACTACAACCTTCACACACACACACACACACACACTGCTCACACACTCCCCCCCACACACACACACACACATTGCACCACTCACACACACCACTGCTCCTATGCCCTACTACCGCCCCATTTCCCAGCAGACCTCAGGTAAGTTGTCAAACTGTTCTTAAACGGGTTGACTACTTACTCTAGGAGGGGGTCCCGGCACTATTGACACCATAACCACTACACTGAGCTGTAGTAGTTATTGTGTCTGGATTATTTCTTTAAATAATCTACAAGTGCCCCTCCCTAGATCAGGCTCTGGATCCGCCACTGCATAGACCGCTCTGTTGTAGTCGTGTGCATACACAACAGTGTAGCAGTGATGTTGGCTCCTGGCAGCTGAATGAAACGCCAGGAGGAGAAAAGGCAAAGGTGATTTATTTTTTCTAACAGGTTCAGGTAAGGAAAATCACCTTTGCCTCACCCTACAGCCACCAGACCCCCAGCGACAAGGTCACCATCAAAGGTCTTGCAGATTATGTAAAGTCCCCAGACAGTAACAGTGCTGCTTTAATCAATTCAGTGAGGTAATTCACAATAATGATTAATACAATTTAATGCAGCTTACTTGTTTTTCTGTGGAGATAATTTGTGTATTTGATTTTAAATTATATCGTGGTACTTCACAAGAATCCTATTAAGTTATATACTAAAAAGATAATTGAAAGTTAAAGGGATTCTCCAGTGCCAGGAAAAGGCTAGAAATGATATTTTCTCTATCTGCATGTCTGTTTGTTTTACCTTTCTGTCTTTGAAAAAATGTCCAAACATGTAAATATGTACAGTTTCTAAGAATAGCTGTAACTTATTGTGGAAGTGGATATGCATCACTATCTGCATGTCTATCTTTAGACCTGTTTCTGCATGTCCCAATGTGTTTTTTTTTTCCTGATCTTTTTGCCTGGTCTCCTTTCTCTTAGGCTGTTTAAGTTGTAGGATGTATTTTAAGGTCTCAAGCTGGAGCCAAAGTACTCCATGATCTTTTTATAAGCACAGCACATCAGATGAAAGATGACTACTGCCCTGGTTTCTGTGAAGCTTATCCTCACATTTTCTTGTTTTATTTTTCTAGTGTGGTTTTATGGCTTGGAGATTTAAATTACAGATTAAAAGATGTAGATGTGGAGAAAGTGAAGAAACTAATTGAAGACAAGGATTATCAGACTCTTTACAAGTATGATCAGGTAATAATGTCCATTTTTACTCACCCTTAACCCCTTAAGGACACATGACATGTGTGACATGTCATGATTCCCTTTTATTCCAGAAGTTTGGTCCTTAAGGGGTTAAATACCCTTAAGAGCTGTTCGGTGTGCCCTTTTTGTGGGAATCGATGCACAGCCTGTAAGAGATGATACATTTTAGCAAACCTAAGGAATTAAGAAAATTCAGGACATATTTAGTAAGGTGCTGTATTTTATGCAGCCGAGGATTTCATTAAATTCTACATGACTTTGTAGCCCACAATTGCATATGCTAAGGCTCAATTGGATATTTGTATCCATGAGTACTTTTAGATTTGTTCACAGTGAAAAATACAGACTCCTTTGTCCCCCTTTGCTGACCTGTATCCCCTCCTACTGCCCATGGCCCCCACTACAGACCCTATAATCCCCATCTACAGCCCCTGTGCCCCCACCACAGCCCTTTTTTTCCCTACAGCTCCTGTGCCACTCACTAAAGCCCCTGGCCCCCACTACAGCCCCTTTCTCCCTCACCCCAGCCCCTTTCTCCCTCACCACAGTCCATGTGCCCCCCACCACAGCCCCCCTTCTACATTCCCTGTCACAGCAGTATTTGACGGTTCTATTTGACTCTCAGAATGCAAATGTCGCCCCCCATTTGCATCCTCTGTCGCCCCCATCTGCATCCTCTGTCTGTCGCCCCCATCTGCATTCTCTGTCTGTCACCCCCATCTGCATCCTCTGTCTGTCGCCCTCTTCACCCCCCTTCCCCTCTTCACCCCCCTTCCCCTCTTCACCCCTCTTCTGGCACAAAATGCATTTTCACCTGTGTAGCCAAAAATCCTTGCACCAGCCCTGGCTCTACCTTATTTAAATTTGTGAACCAAATCAGGAGAGCAAACAAAAAAGTCATGAAAATAGACCAGTCAGTGTGCTGCAATACTGAAAATCAGTAATTAAAAACCCTCAGCATTTGTAATTGAAATTCCTTTGGAAGCCCTCCTCACCAGTCTGCATTTAGAGAAATGCTTCGCTTCCAATTCTGGTCCATTTATATTTGAGGAGGGGATGAGAACACAGAATTCATGCTTGACTGGCTGCTGGTTGGGACTTGAGTGACTTGGTTTATTGGAGGGAATGAATCCACTCCCTGTTGCCTACTATAACAATGATCTCGTATGATATGAGAGCAGATACATATTTTTGAACATTCAAAAATATTGTATGTGATTATTTTAACATGAAATACAATACAGGCATACCCCACTTTTAAGTACACAATGGGACCAGAGAATATATGTAAAACGAAAATGTACTTGACCCCTTAAGGACCAAACTTCTGGAATAAAAGGGAATCATGACATGTCACACATGTCATGTGTCCTTAAGGGGTTAAAGGACCACTATAGGCACCCAGACCACTTCAGCTTAATGATTGGAAAGGAGGAGGAGAGTCCCCAGCGCTGGAAAAAAGGTAAGGGATTAACCCCTTCCTCCCCCTAGAGCCCAGCGGGAGGAGGGGGGAACCCAGAGGGTGACCCCAAGGACCATATAGAGCCAGGAAAACAAGTATGTTTTCCTGGCACTATAGTGGTCCTTTAAAGTGAAGCAATACCTTTTTTCACTTCCCAATGCATGTACTGCATGGCAATAGTCATTTTCAGGCATAACTGATACAGCAACTGCAGATTTCCAGTGATTTTATTTCCAGTGATTTATTTAGTGATTTCCAGTGGGCTTTTATTCAGTTAAAATAAATAGTAATTTATCTTTAATGTTTTACTCCTCTGACAACCTTATACTGGGAGGAAAAGTAAAATAAACCTGCCCACTGAGCCATTTTCTGTCAATACAGTTCCAATTTGTATTTGTTAGCAGCTTAGTTGCACACTTTGTTTAGAAACACCTCTTCATCACTTTAAGCATTTATGGTTTAACTTTGAATCCTAGTGGCTAATGCAGCTCAGCTGCTAAGTCATAGTAATGGAAAATGGCAGGGTAAACCCTTTCACTGGATGGTGCCGATTGCAGAATAGGGACAAAGTAGGGGCAGGAAAAAAATAAAAATATATATATATGTTCAGCTGGGAGTAGGCATTAGAAATTTGAGATGATTAACCTGTGCCATGTCAGAAGGTGTGAAAAGTTCTTGCCCCAAAGACACTGAACTGAGCTGCTCCGGGCGAGAATATAACCTTCCATTTCCTGTTCACTCGTGGACAGAAGAAGCACGGGAATGTCTGTACTCGCGAATGTACTTAGAGTGAGTGTATGTAAAGCGGGATATGCCTGTATTTGTGTGATTGTGCATTGAGTTGTGATTGTTATACTCTGTCACCCTCTGGTGTCCAAAAGGGGACTTTGAAGTAAGATCTTTAGGCAAATTTCTGTGGACATTCTGTGCATCACATTTTATTGTAACAGTGGATGTTGCACATCACTTGTCTATATATATATATATATATATATATATATATATATATATATATATATATATATATATATATATATTTTGTTTTCCAAGTGGTTTTAGACTGCTGCCTTTTTAAAAATATATATATATATTTTTTGAAAATTAAAATTTTATTAAAATTTTTCATTGAACGTATAATTACGTTTCAGGTTGCAATAAAGAGGTAGGACTCGCAGGTCCTTGGCATGCAAATGTACTTCCAGAATGCTAGCCACGCAGGGCTGCGATAGGCAAGTCAAACAGTTAAGGAAAACCATCTATACCATATATCATAAATGTCAGGAAGGTTACAGACCAGCTTATAATGCAAAACAAAACAACATATTTGTAGGTAGAGTGTATAGTATCAGGGTGTATCCTATGGAGTCTCAGTCTTGTATTTCTGACGATAATAAAAGTTGCCTTCAACTCGTGAAGAGACATTTACCTTAAAAATAAAAAACAAATATTACACAAATTGCCAAGCACAGGTTATACTGTCTGCTCCTTTTCATATTGATTGTGTTTAGTTCTAGTTATCAGTTATCAATGGGACTGTTGTAAGAATGTAAAACATTTACAACTTGGCCCAAAGTCTTACAGCTGATTGCTATTTACTGAACGGTTTTGTACAACCCTGAAAATCCTGTTTGTTTTATTGATTGTGTCACACCTTGGCTTGTTCACAACATACATGTTAGTGTATGTTTTTATGACCATAGTTTATAGGGTATTGGGAGCTACTGCATGCTAGTAAGATTTTAATAATTTCTAAGTTTCTAGTCCTCAATCCTGCATCCTTTGCTGGCAGTAACCTTTCAATAAATGGTGGATTTGTGATAATCTGTTTTATGTTTTTTGTTTTTGTTCGTTCGTTGTGCATAGCTAAAGCAACAGTTTGATGAAAAAGCAGTATTTGATGGTTTTACTGAAGGCGAGATAACGTTTCAGCCAACATACAAGTATGATACAGGTTCTGATGAATGGGACACTAGGTGAGTCAATCCTAAGTATACAGTTTGCAAAAGTGAACTGAACAAGGCTTAGTGGATAGACACATGATCATGATGACATTTTATTATCTCGTGAAAAATTTGTAAAACTTATATTTCATGTAGCACCATGATGTTGCATGTGAATGTAATTTAATCTGCTTAATGACCACTTTCTTTTTCTTGACATGATTTTCTACATTTTTCTTTTCAACTTTTCTGCTATAAGCACGTATTAGGTATTCCTCAGATTAATGTTTTTCATTGCTAATAATTCTATATTTATCTTTGTGCCTTAAAATCTTAATATCTTTGTATCTTAAATAGTGAGAAATGCCGTGCCCCGGCCTGGTGTGACCGCATACTGTGGAAAGGAAAGCATTTAACTCAACTGTGCTACCGAAACCACATGGATCTGAAGACCAGTGACCACAAGCCAGTCAGCTCAGCATTTGACATTGGGGTAGGACGTCCTTGTATTGTGGGCTAAAAACTATGTCTACTGGCATTCCCACCAGACTCCAACTTGACACAATAATGTCTACCTTGTAAACAGAATCCATTAACTGTCGTTTGCCTATTTACCATTCTTCTGTTTGCATTAAAAATGTGCTACTGGTAAAATAAAAAAACTTAACATTACAGGCATTATTATTCCAGCCTGTGAGCTGTTCTTGGGGCTGCTTACACTTTACCATTTGCTTAGTAGCACTAAGTTATATGGTAGCCCATGCTCGCCAAGTCTTATAGTCTCATGCTTCGCTTTGGCAAACCACATACATTTCCATTACAAACTGCCTCTATACTGTATTTGTTTTTGTCATAGGTATTTATTAGTTTATTTGCCATTTTTTTTTTTCAAGCCTTGAAGCAAAGTGCTGGACCGTTTACCATTACCTTGCTGTGACATTTTATAACCTCAGACCATTAGGAATTCTGCACAAAGCACTCTACTGGTTTGCAACACTTGTTTCTATAGTATTCTTTTTGTATTATTGAGTTTTTGGTTTTTCTTTTTTTACAAATGTAACAAATATACAAAGACTTTTTGTAAATGTAACAAACACATCAATTCACCAGAATGTAAACATCAATTTCACCATGTGAGAACAAGCAAGTTAACTCCCACTCATTGCAAATTACTTTTTTAATATTTTGTATGTTCAGAACAAAACGATTTTTTAATGAAAGACCAGTATTGTGTTAAAATGATACGAATTGTCAATATTGGCATATAAGACATGAAGCATGTTTGTTCTTGTTTATGGAATAGAAAATAATTAGCTGTACCTCTATCTGCTGCCAAAGTCTGATAATATGACCATATAATATATAATGTAAACCAAATGATACTGCTTTGTGCATTTGGTGGGAAGTTTTTATACCACAGTTAAACCCAAGTTCCTCTGAAACTGCACATCTTAGTTTTATGAAAAGGTTTTGTAAAATATAGTAATTTGTGGTTATTTACGAGGAAGTGAATTTGTGTTAATTTAATTTTCAGGTAAAAGTAGTCAATGAAAAATTGTACAAGAAAACCTTTGAAGAAATAGTTCGCACCCTGGATAAGATGGAGAATGACAGCATTCCTTCTGCTACCTTATCGCAGAGAGAGGTATGCATGTTTGTGACATCAGCCAGATGTCATTTTATTGTTTCATAAATATTGAACTCATTTGGCAATTCCCTAATGGAAAAATCAGTTTTGTGCAATCAAACGTGCATCACAACTTGGCTGCTAAAACCAGCCAAATCTCTATCTTGGCAGATTCTAGTGTTCACAACCAACCAAATAGCAACCAAATGCACTTCATTTGTTTTAATTTCTCTGATACAGACAGGCGGGAATTTACCTAGAACTGTATATATGTAGATGTGTGTGTGTGTATATATATATATATATATATATATATATATATATATATATATATATATATATATATATATATATATATATATATATATATATACACTCACACACTCACACTGTCTCCGGTGTCTGGTCTCTCCCTTTCCCTTTTCTCTAGCACAAGCATCATTCCTTTACCTTGACATACCATTTATTCCAGCATTCCCTATTTTAGTAAATCCGATTTTGTTCCACTTCATATTCCCTCACTCTCCCCACTTCATCATGGTTCTTTGTTTCCATTATTTCTATCTACTCAGAGACTCTCCCTCATTCTTTCAATCCAGCAATCCATCCCACTTAACTGCAGACCTTTCTCTACATCATCAGATACCTGATATTTTGCACCCACTTTTCACAGTTCTCACAAAATCCCTGGTACAAAAAAAAAACACCAAGAACCAAGCTGAAATAGTAGGCCAGGACTGTCCTTTTTTTTTTTAAAGACAAATCCTTCACCTTGGTGTCGTTGGATTGCTTCCTAGCTTGCCTTTAAGGGATACTGTAAGCACTGTAGCTTATATTATTGAAGTGGTTATAGAGTCTTTTTTATGCTTACAACATTTTTAATGATTTGATGCACAACAAGAGTCCCCAGGAGTCAATCACCTCTGTTCTTCTTCAGCAGTTAGGAAGTATTAGCCTGAGTAACAAATGGCAGCTATGATTGAGCCTATCACAGTACCCTTTGCTGGTATGAATTGGAATGCTAGAAGGAAGTGAGTATTCGCTAGGTTAGCCATACTTCCCCCTAGAGCGTGGGCTGTGAGTGGCCAGAAACTCTTATTTATTGTTAAACTGCTTGAAAATGGTTTAACAATGAATGGAGGGATAGAGACAGGGGACTCTAAGCACTACACACACACTACTATACAGTTAAGTGAGATGACCTTTAAAGGTCAGACTGGCCCCATCTCTAGCTTTTAAAATAATACATAGTGGTAAATAATCACTGAAACATGCTAGTGGAGTGCCTCCAAAAAGCAATTTACCATGATATTGTGAACACAATTTAACCTTATTAATGAAAAAAACTGAGGGAAATAAACATATATTCTGTTGTACAGCGCTATGGAATTTGCTGCCGCTATGTAAATTAATAATCATTACCTTTCCAGGTAGCACACCAACATTTAAAAGTGGGTATAAAATCATAAAATGGAAAATGTAGTGTGATACTGTATAGAAACTGCTGAAAGGATCACAAGGATTAGAAACACTGACTTGGGTGGAAACCCTTTGTTTATCTCAAAACATAAAAGCCTCACTGGTTATTCATAAAAAAAAAAAATTATATTGTGTTAAAGTGATAGATTTAATCAAACATCTAGCACTTTAATACAAAATACCTCACAGTAAAATAAATATAATATGGTCCACCACGCAGGACTGTAAGAGACCTATTGGTCACTTTTTGCCGATTATTTGCTGCTTCGTTCGTATATAAGCAGTTCTGTGGATTATTCCCCTTAACAGTCTGCTGTTCTGTAAATGCTGGCATTCATTGCTATTATTCTGTACATGGATAGGTCTCAGGGTCTGCAGAATAGGCCCATTCCCAGTATCATCGCCCCTATGCAACATTGCAAAACACACACAAAGTTCCAGTAACCCCCCTCCCACATTGTGCCAAGTCACACGGTTGTTTTTCTAGATCTCTACTGGATGGTTGTCATGGATGCTGTCTCTAGCCTGTCTTGCAGTATACAGGACAATGTTTGTTTTGTACAGTTGTTTAAGATAGTGTCACTATTTCACTATGTTAGTGTAATGTGTAAGTGTAGAATAAATAATATTTGCAAGTATTTTGAAATGTAATCATTTAATATGAGACTAAAGTTGCTGATCTATCGATACCTGTAGTTTTATTTTAAGGATGTCAAGTATATGCAGCTACAAGTGCAGACATTCACTATTCATAATGATGGACAAGTTGCTTGTCAATTTGAATTTATTGGTAAACTGGATGAGTCCTCTTACAGCAAACCATGGTTGAGAGCTAATCCAAGCAAAGGATTTCTGACTCCAGGTAACAATGATTTTCTTCCCTCATTCTTGTGTGTGTGTCTTTTCCTAATGCAGTGTTTTTCCTTAACCCCTTAAGGACCAAACTTCTGGAATAAAAGGGAATCATGACATGTCAGGGGTTATGGGACAATTCACGATGGTCCCCTGCTTTTTTATTTCTTAATGGACAAATGTTGGGTATTATATCTTAAGACTCCTGATATATCCTGTTTCATTAAGAGTTTGATTATTTATGCAAAGAAAAAAATGCTTTGAAAAGATATTCACCTCGGAATGTCTGTTTTTGGCAACAAATAAGTGGGCTCTGATCCAATGACATTGGTTTCAATTAGGAATTGGCTGTGTTTTCTTAACCGATCCCTAGTTTCTTCTTCATTTCTATGGAGGCAATTAATGAACATGTTTATTAGTATCATGTCACATAAGGACATACACAGTAATTTCTCATTTGGTCAATTGAGACTATTAAAGCAAGTAATTTGCATCATGCATACCTGCCCTTCAGGTGTCTGGTGTCCTGTTCATCATTAATCCCAGCTCTCATTAGGCTTCTGGGTAAGTTTGGCATCTGTATTGTTTACAATCCAGATGCCAAACTTACCCAGGAGCTTCTTGATAGCTGTGACTTTATCTGTAACTGTCTGCTGAAAGGTACCTTTCAAGCTCCAGGTTACAGCTTATACTTGTTGCATAGGTCATGTGGCAAGAGTCCATTTTCCCTGTCTCTATGCGCTCACTTACTTAGAATTGCAGCAATTTGCCAAAAAAAGTGATGCAGATATAATACTTCACCTTTTGTATCTAAACATTGGAGGGAGAAGGTATATTTATTCCTACCAGTTTATGGGATATAATGAGAACCTACGGACCAGAGTTATAGGCTATTTTCTGTTCTGGTCAGATATCATTGCTGCTGGTGCTTTCCTGTGAGTTTGCTGTGTTTTTTTGTATTTTTATTTATTTTATTTTATTTTTTCTCTCAACATGATCTTTGTAATGCCTTAAAATTGGTGTACAGTTTAAGGTTGGAGAGATAAAAATTATTTTCCTCATAATCCATCAACCTTAGTGCTTAAAGTTGAATTTTTTTTTCTTATTTCTAAGAAGTAACACGGATTGTGCCCATTTCATTTCCCTTTGCTGCAGGGTCAGAAGCAGAGATCGAACTGGAATTATTTGTCAACAACCAAACTGCTGCTCAGCTCAACTGTGATGAGCACGGACTTGAAGATATTCTCATTTTGCATCTCGATCGAGGAAAGGATTTTTTTCTTTCTGTGACTGGGAATTATTTGCACAGTTGCTTTGGATCATCTATCCAGATGTTATGCTACATGAGAGAGCCCATCAGAGACATGCCAGTCAGCAGGATCAGACAGATGGTACCATTGCCTGTTTTGTTCTCACTTTGTAATTGTCCTTTAAATTATAAGCGTAGTATAAACCCAGTCTTCCACAGCCATAAACAACTTGGATTTGCCATGTAGAAATTATTTGAACATTTTTCAGTATAGATTAGACTAAGACACTCATTTTTGTTCGGAAAGACGAATGAACGAATACAAAGTATAATGAATGTCAAGATTTACCTGTCAGAGCACTTTGGTTGACTTAGCTTTCCCTCAGCCCTGCAAGTGTTGTCTGCGCGGATCCCCTGCATGGTGAAGGTGGATGAATTTTCCATCTGTAATTTTCTTTATTTACTTATTTATTTATTTTGGCGATCGGATCCTTTTTTTAAATTTTAATTATATCAATCGTTATTTGGTCTTTTATGGGGCTGGGGAAAAGAAGATTGAAAAAAAATAAAGGTAAGTTTGTTTTTTCTTTTTTACATTATGTCCCCCTCCCATTCATTTTATTTTGTAGCTCCCACCAGGTAATTATTTTAATAGTTGACCCACCATGGTAGCATGGGGGACCTGTGCCCGGTACCCCTACAGTGGATTAGTCACTGGCTGTTGTATCCTGTTTAGTAGACATTCCCCTACTCACAGCACGGCGGGTAGGGGCAGGAGGGAGAATTTTACTTCCCTTATTTACTAATACTAAGTATTTTTTACCTGGTGTTAATAAAGCTGTTTTAAAGAACAAAATTATGAAAAGGAAGGACTTTTTGTAATTTTGGTATTTCAGCTTCTTAGTGGATGGCACCCTAATCCTTGTGGGAATGCCATAAGGATACCAAAAAGTTACCTACTGAATAGCTCCCTAATTTGGTGCCGTACGCATACCAGAAAGGAGGTGTCTACTAAACATCTCCCTAATCTGGTACCCTAAAATGTGGCAATTCCAAAAGGGTACCAATTCAGGGTTTTAGCTACTAATTGGCTGCAAGAAAATAATGGCTGAATTTAGTGCAAAAATGAATTCACAAGTGGCTGAAATTTGGTTCGGATGAAACATTTATTTTCTTCCAAATGTGTAGGGAAAAAATTGAAATTTCGGCAGTGCCCAAGTCTAGTACAGATTGAACAGTCTTGATATAAAATGAGTGGTATTTTGTGAAGCCTACCAACTAAGGTTAACAAAAAGCTGATAGATATTTTGTGTGTGTGCATATATAAATATACACAAAAATATATAGTTCAGTAATACCTTCCACATAATATTGTCAAAACAGAACAAAAAAAAATTTAATTTGTCTTTGTTTTATTTTCAGGCTCTCAGACCCTTACAAATGAAAGAGGACTTTGTCGATGCAGAGAAACCACATGAAATTCCAAAAGAACTCTGGATGCTAGTGGACCATTTGTATCGTAATGCTTCCCAAGAGGCAAGAAATATATCCTTCTTTTATTTCTGAGCACAGACTAAGCTTACGGGACAATATCATTATCTGAAAAATGAGCTATAACCAACTAGAGCAACTAATTTTTTATTTTTTTTAGTTTTTTTCTCCAACACTCTGAAAATGGTTATATTTAATGGTAGTCCAGCTGAACATAAAGGAAGGATCTTTTGCACTCTGTACAAGAAACAAAAATGTCTTGTTTAACAAAAATTGTCTGTGCTTGGTTGCTTTAAACTTTTAATAATTTAGAGATAAACCTCTAAACTTTTGTTTATGGTTTATGTGACTGCAGGAAGATTTGTTCCAACAGCCTGGATTAAGATCTGAATTTGAAGCCATCAGAGACTGTCTGGATACTGGATCTCCAGAATATCTCCGTATCCTTCCAAAATTATATATATATATATATATTCACCTCATTATTATTATTATTATTTTATTTATATCTCGCCATCACATTCCGTAGCGCTGTACATTGGGTGGACTAACAGACATGTAATTTTAATCAGACAATTGGACGTACAGGAATAGAGGGGTTGAGGGCCCTGCTCAATGAGCTTACATTCTAGAGGGAGTGGGGTATAGTGACACAAAGGCTAAAAGTAGGAGTACGAAGTAGGTTGTTAGAAAAGTATTCATTGAGGGCTTAGTAGGAAATTTTTGAAAGTTGCAGGAGAGGAGTCATGGAGGGTGGGGGGATAAAAAAACCTGCTAACAGTTTAACTGATATGCTTTTTTGAAGAAGTGAGTTTTCAATGATTTTTTTGAATGAGTGGAGACTGGGTGAAAGTCTTACGGAGAAGGGAAGGGCGTTCCACAGAAGAGGTGCAGCCCTGGAGAAATCTTGGAGGCGAGCATCAGAGGTGGGAGTATGGACAGAGGATAGACATTGCAAAAGCTAGTGAAGTGCTATCATGTATTAAATCACGTGATCATAACATCATTTTGTATTTTTAGAATCCTACCTTGAATATGCCTATGAAATGTTGGGCACTCATTTTTAAATAAGTATACTGCAGATCCAGAAAAAGTGTAGAGGCAAGCCTCAAAGTAATGGGATTGGAAGAACTTCGAATAAAAATGTATACAGGATTAGGATTAGTACAAGCCACTAAACTATTCATTCCCGTCAATATACAACAAACGAGGTCATCTGTGGAGATTGAAAAAAGTGTTTTTGCTTCCAGCAGAGGAAAGGGTCCTTTGCTGTAAGAACCGTAAAGATGTGGGATTATTTGCTTAAAGAGGTTGTGTTAACAGATTTGATTGAACTATTCAAGGAGATAATTAAAGGATCACTTTAGTGTCAGGAAAACAAACTCGTTATCCTGACACTATATAATCCTTAGGCGCCCTCCTCCCGCTGGGCTGAAGGGGTTAAAACCCCTTTTGCTACTTACCTTTATCCAACGCCGGGCTCCCTCGGCGCTGGTGACCTCTCCTCTTCCTCCGACGTCAACTTCCAAGTGGAGCCGAATGCGCACGCATTAAAAACGCCCATAGGAAAGTATTTCTTAATACTTTCCTATGGACGTTCTGCATGCTCAATGTGATTTTTGCATTGAGCGTCGGGGAAGCGCCTCTAGCAGCTGTCAGGAAGACAGCCACTAGAGACTAGATTAAACCTGCAATGTAAACATAGCAGTTCTCTGAAACTGCTATATTTACAGCTGCAGGGTTAAAACCTGGGGGACCAGCCACCCAGACCACTTAATTGAGCTGAAGTGGTCTGGGTGTGACTATAGTGGTCCTTTAATATGTATGTGATCCGCTTGTTAATCCAATGAGCAATCTAGTTTCAAGAAAGAATTGTTACCTTTTTGTGGCAAATTAGAAATAGCTTAAATTGTTGTTTTTTTTTTTGCCTTCTTATGGATCAGCACCTTAAAGGAATGGGTTTTAAATGTTTATCTCTAAGAACCTGAATATTTTTTTATTTCAACCTAGATTACTATATAGCTATGTAACTTGGTAAATTTATATATTAAAAAAAAAAAAAGTAAGACTTTTTTTGATTTTCTTTCTTTTGTTTTTTTTGTTGTTGTTTTTTTTAATTCTTTGTCGATTCATGCGTAGCGGTTGGATACAATAGGTTTGGTATATGCGTTCCAATTTGTACATGTATTTGTTCTGAGACACACACATATATATGGTTATAATTGGTGTCATTTTACATGCATACATTGCGTTAACAGGTGCTGACAATACTGAGCATATATTCCGGTGGGGATTGATATGATAGTCCATTTGTTCCGATACTTCGATCTCCTTGTAAAATCGGGGTCTTGCTCGATGGTCGTTATTGGAAATCGGTAGTCGCATGTATTTTTGTATCTTGAAGTTTGTATGTCCGTGTGATTTACAGTTTGCTATGTTTGTACTTTCAAGCTAGATATATCTACCTCGTAGTGGCATGAATATTTTTAGTGAAATGACCATAGGTACGTCAGTATAGATGGGTTAAGAGATGAGGATACAGGGGGAAGAGGAGGAGAATAGAGGGGGGGTTTGTATGGGTTGTGAGCTCCGCTGATGTGGGGCAGACGTCACTTGAGGTCACCTCCGGGGGTTTTGAGTGGTAATTGTCACTGCGTCGGTGTGTTCGTCAGCAGTTAGTAAAGTCTTCCCGTGGTTCCCATGTTTTGAGGAATTGTGAGTATCTCTGACTTGTGCTGTTAATTTATCCATGAGATGGGCCTCCTTGATATTACCGATGACCCTCTCCATGTGTGGCATGTCAGTTTGTAGCCAGGTTTGTGCTATGGCTCTCCTGGCAGCCAGGTTTATTTTGTTGAGTAGGTTTTGTTCTTTGTTAGGCAGATCGTCAACCGGTCTTGCTATTAAGAATGTCCATGGGTCTGGTCTTATCGGTCTGCGTAGCACTGCTGTCGATAATCGGGCCACGTCTTCCCAAAAGGTCGCTACTTTGGGGCAGGTCCACTACATATGTAAATATTTGCTTTTTTCGCAACCAGCATGTGTCAGTGGGTGTTTTGCCCATGCGGTGCAGCTTAACTAGGGTGGTGTACCACCCTATAAGTGTTTTGTAACATTGTTCTTGGTGTAGCACGCATATGGATGCTTTTGCTGCTGCCTCCCATATGTCAAAAATCAACCCTTAGCCAATGGGCTCTAACTTATAGCATTATAGAACATTGTAACGATAAACATGGGAAATGTTAGGTATATTGCTGAAGTTCTGGTTTGTAGTATACGTTACTGCTCCTCCCTGCATGTCCAGGTTTCAGGCCGGTCGGGAGTTACTATATTCCCAGCTGTCAGGCAGGGGTGGGAGATCCTATGGGCTGTCCGTCGGTAGCAGCAAGTCATCCGGAACCATGATGTCGAAGTCTTTCATAAAGTCTCGGATATTCGTAGTGGGTAACAATATGACTGGTTTAGGGCCATGGTAGACTATGATCTTGAATGGGTAGCCCCATGCAAAACAAATCCCTTTTTGCTGCAATAGATCTGTAACCGGTTTCCATTCCTGTCTGCGCAGGAGTGTTGCTGGAGCGACATCTTGGTATAGTTGGATTTCGATTCCCTCGTGGGTAAATGGTTGTGTTCTGCTATGCCTCAGTATGGCTTCTTTTATTTTGAAGTAGTGCCATTTCATAATGACATCCCTCAGTGGGCTTTTCTTCGGGCCTCTGGCCCTGAGAGCTCCACTAGCCATAAGTGGTCAGGTATGTCTGGCAGGCTTTGACGAAAGCATTGCACAAGGACTAATTCCACATCTTCCTCCTTCACTGTTTCTGGAAGGCCTCAGATACGTACATTATTGTGTCTCGACCTGTTGGAGATGTCCTCCAGTTCTATTTCTAAATCAGTGATTTGTTGCTGGAGGGTATTGGTGAGTTTGGCGGTGTCATTTTGTGCCGTGACCATCCGAGCCACCCTGTGCTCCGTTTCCGTTGTGTGGGCCCCTATGGCGGCTATCTCTGCCTTCACCTCCGCCGCTGTGCACTTGAATTCTGCCGCCAAGTATCCCTTCACTTCTGCAAGGGATTGGAAAAGCGCGCTGGAAGAGGCCTCGGGGGCTGAGCTGACGCCTGTGACTGGGTCCAGGGAGCCTGTGTTACTGTGGTTGGTGTCTGCCATGGTGCCATGTGGCGACAGTCTTTGGGATGTAAGCATATCTGCCACTGAAGGAGCGTCCTTATTGCCCTTTTTGGCGGGCTTGTGGCTGGACATCCGTGGCAGTTTGATCCCGGCAGCTTCGGGTGTTCTGAGGACGGTTTTTAGTGGGGGTTTTTTTTTTGGGTTGTAGCAGGTTACACTGCAGAGTTTGTGAGCCTCTGGTGCGGAGCTCTGACTTTAGGCGGCCATCACGGTCGGCAGTCAAGCCACGCCCTCTGTTCTTTCATTTTGCCATCGTACAGGAATCCTCTTTGATGATGATAATATTTGGAATTGATTGAGATACTCAATGGAGAGACCAGGATTGTACTTGGGTCACAGCAATCTACTTTTTGAGATCAACACCCAAGAAGATTGCCCTCTAAGATCAAGCTTATTGAGTTTTTGCCCATACACTATATTTTTGCTTCTGTGCATTTCCTTAGTGTAACCGTCACCTGGGGACTTATGGAACAGTTTACAAGGAGTTGGAGCCCAGTTGCAGGAGATGGCACAAGGAGGATGCAAAATCCAAAAACACAGTACAGATAGAGGGGTAATCCAAAGGCAGGGTCAGACGAGAAGCAGAAGTTAGGGCTGGCAGCGGAGTAACATTGTCGGTAAAGCAGGCAGAGGTCGGAGTCCAGGAAATCAGTCAGTAATGTAGCAAAGATCAGGAAACACCAAACAGGCAAAATGACCAGATACTAGGTTTCAAGCAGGGCTGGCTTTTACAGCCTGCTAATTAGGTGCAGCTGACCCTAATTGGAAATGGGCTGCAGGTGGATCAGTGCTGCTTAATCCAGGGCAAGGTGGTCAGGAAGCAGAAAAATGCTTTTAATATTTATATATTTTTTTATTTCCTCAAGATACTTTGCTTTCTATAGAATATACATGTATTTAGCCATATTTGAAAGATCCATGTTTTTGAGAGTCTGTGTTTAAAGTCTACATCTACATTCCTGATCCCTCCTGAAAGAGATAAGCTTCCAGAACTTTAGTCATGATCCTGATAAACTGTATTGCTTGAGAATATGAGGTTATGTTTGTTCCACTAAATGAACAACATTCACCTGATAATGTTAAACAAAGATATGATGGCAGTGACAAGGCTCTAGAAGTCCTCCACAGTTTAGTTCTTGTAAGTGATCAAATAGCCAGTTATCTATATTACAATTACTACTGCAAATGTACAGATAATATCAGATTATCTACAAAGAATAAAGGTGATGTCAAGCGCTTCTGTATTTCTTGCATGCTGGACTAGACAAGGGTAATATATTAACCTATCTGAAGGTTCAGGAATCATCATTATTCCTCAGTCAATAACTTGTAGAAGCTTCAGTAACTCCTCTTTAACGCAATCTGTCATGTCTAAGACATTTCAGACTCCTACCTCCTCTGTTCCTCCAAGGACACAGGCATACTTGATCAGAGCAGATTTATTTGTATACGCTCTGAGAGACCAGAATCCTTCAAAGGCCTGTTTCTAGAAATAAAGTATAATTTTGCTGATTTGACTATACCTGTTTTTGAGATAGATATATAGAGATTCTGGGTGTGCATATGCAAATTAGCTTAACAAAGAATCACATTTTGCCTCATTCCATTTTAAACATGGATTCCTTTTAGTCTGCATACAGCAGCTTGGAACACAATTTAGGAAATGCTAATTTGCATATGCCCACCCAGAATCCTTTGCGGTAGTAACATCACTGCAGATTTGTGTTTTCTGTGGGAAAAGCAAGTCTTATGGCTTGACTGGTGTGCAGATTTTTGTTTAACATTGTATTAACTATTCACAGACTTCAGGTGGAAGGGGGTTTTCAAGCACAATTGTTCCCCACCATAACCTATTTAGATTTTGCTTCCCAAGCACTACCATGCCTCAGTAAGCAAACCAGTAACCAATCTCATGCTGATGAGTTGCATTAACAACAAAACCGCTGTCCATGAGTGGTTTACTGGCTTTGCATCTTTTCTTAAGTTGTGTTCCAAGCTGTTGTATACAGCAAACCCAGACTAAAAGGAATCAATGTTTAAAATGGAATGAGGCAAAAATGTGATTCTTTGTTAAGCTAATTTGTATATGCCCACCCAGAATCCTTTGCTGTAGTAACATCACTGCAGATTTGTGATTTATGTGGGAAAAGCAAGGCTTGACTGGTGTGCAGATTTTTGTTTAACATTGTATTAACTATCCACAGACTTCAGGTGGAAGGTGTTATCAGTCACAATTTTTCCCCACCATAACCTTTTTGGTTATATATAATATTGTTGGATACCGGTATTATCGAATGTTATTCCTGCATTCCTGGTAGCATATGGGTTTCCCTGTTGTTTTCCACTTGTTATACATCCTTTCTATGAGGTGTTCTTTCAAGAGCTTGAGTACACAAACTGTGGTTGGATCTTTTCACAGCATTTGTAAGTTTTTACTGTCTTATAAACTGTGAGAGGAGCTACTCCTTAATATGCAGTGCTGTGGATTTTGGCTACGAAAATTACCAGTAGGTATGGATACTTTTTCCTATTTTCATTTTTGAATAGCCTGTGACAGAGTGGGTTAAATGTATTTATTTTATTCTGGGAACCTTCTTTTTTTTCCTATTTGCCTGTGTGTGGTTTTTAATTTAGAACTAATCATGTAATTTAAAGAAACAGTAGTGTCCGGAATCCAAACATGCATTTCTGCCTGTGTAGTCGCCCCTCCTTGTCTCTGGTTAAAAAGGTGATTTACTCACGCCTGACTCCACTGCGCCCCTTTGGCAGTGCACATCAGACTTGATCACACATTTTTGGCAAAGCAACTAGCAACACTAGAGATATTATTAGTAGGCAGTAGCAGTGTTTACATTAAAAATCCTGCAGGGACAGGCAGTAGACTATAGTGTCCCTTAATTAAAAAAAAATTACAAAATCTAGACGTTTAGTAAAAGTGGAACCTTGTACTTCCTGTTCTACAGTCATATTTTTTTTTATCATAAACAAGGAAAGTCATGAATACAATTTAAAGAATTCTCAAAAGAAGTTTATACTTTAGCCTTGCAGATTTATTTTCCATCTTGGCATAAGGTAACATGTAATGGCAAGACACACAGATTATCACATATATCTGTTTGCAGCCAAGTTTAAACGGAAAATAAATAGTCAATCTAATAGTGAAACAACATGAGAAAAATACATGCATAAAGATTTTTAATTTACACACACACACACACACACACACACACACACAAACTTCAGTGTAAGAGTGAATGTGAAACATGGAGCAATGCACAGTCTGTCTCTTATAACCCCCTTCCTCACTTGTGATTTAGTCCTAAAGTAAACTTGACATGCCTGGTTCACTTTAACATGGCAGTAAATATGTAATTTATTATAGTGATATATGCTTTTGTGCCTTTGGAGCTGTTGTAGCGTTACCTGCAGCATGAGCACCACAATTGCCATAGGTTTGTTACAACCCCCTCTTTGCAATGATTGGTCGTGCTTGGGGACAATCCTCACTGATGATATATGGCACCTAGGGTGGATTTGTCCATTGACACCTCGCAAACAATTTAAGCACAATAGCCAACATATTATTGCAGAGATTATAGTGCATAGAAGCTCTGGGTTCCAGATACAGGTCTAAGGATCAACTGACTGGGCAAGACAATCTTTCCTCAAAGGATTCTCCCCTGTGCTCTCTGTAACTGTGCTAGTCCCACAGCAAGTGTTTCCCACAATTGCAGGACAGTATAGCATGCTCTTATGCACTGAAGCCAGCACACGTGTATTTGGAACACAGAGTTTCCTTGCACTATAACCACTACAATGTCATGTAGTCTATGGTGCTTGGAATGTTTTGGAGGTGCCCTGTACCAAAGGGACGACTGTGCCTGGGATCCTTATTTAGTGTTAAACAACTCCAGTCACTTTTACCATTTCAGTTAGTTGGAATGATTATAGTTAATGAAGGGACAGTGCCAAAGGACTCCAGGCACTATAACCAGCTCATGGAATGAATTAATTATAGTGTATATAGTCTTTTAAATAAAATCATGTGTGAGGGAATACTTGGGGCAGTTAGTATCTTATACTTGGTGATCACAGCATAAATACCAGCTCCAAAATTATGTTAATGATGACATGCCAAGCACAGAAACCATTCTCTGTGTCTGAGGCATATTTTGTTATTGAACAAATCTGAACAGTAATAAAATACGCTAGTGTTTAAATTAATACACACATGTATAGTCTTGCTGCATGTGAAGACTACTGTAACTTTTTGTCTTTGGTTGTCCTATCCCATGCTCCATGCCATGTGACCAGCACAGAGACGTGACTTTAGGGTATATCACAATAATGTGATCACATTCCTAACTGAAACATAGTGAAGGTCATAACCTCCTCGTGAAACATAATGTATGTAATTCTGGATGATTTAGTTTGCCTTTGGACAAATAACCAAGTACAAATCTCTTAAGAAAAAAACCAACCTAATTTTAAATATAAATGTGTGTGTGTGTATATACCACAGGCCTACAGTAGGATATGTGACTAGTTGTGTCAGGAGGCAGTGCTTTGTCCAGTTGATTAGTTTTTAGCATGTTCCTGTTCTACTCAAATGGCAGTTCTCCTAGATTAAGAAATGTGTACACACTGTGTCATTAAATCTTAGACTGGCAAATGTATGGATCAAAAAGTTATAAATGTTTAAAGACTGTTGCTTTACTATTACTTTGCTTTACTACTCTGCTTGAGGTTAAATGTATGTGGCAAACTCTTTGTGCAATGTGAGCATACGGGGTATTTTTTATTTATTTTTTTACCTTTGCAAAGAGGGCCCTTTCATGTCTCGTTTCAAAGAGGAGTGCATTGCGGTTAAGTAAGCTTTTCATCTCCATCTTTGTCTTTTTAGTAAGCAGCAGGGTTACTATCAAATATCAGAGGAAAAAGAAAGGGGGTGTACCAGCGCTAAATATTCCCCAACCAGTGAATTGTGTTCTAAATAACCAAAGGAGCTGCTATCACACCTAGTTCTTATCTTACAAGAATAGGAACCCAAAAACTCTTGTGGTGTAGCGCTATATTTACAGATAAAGGGTAGTAATAGAAAACTTGGTATACAACAATACTACCTTGAATATTCTTTATGTCTTTATATTCACATAAGAGTATAAATTCTACAAGACATAAAAAACAGACAAACCAAACATAGTGCAAACTGTATAATAAAGTCCGTTATAGAGTATTAGGAAGCGAAAATTTCCCACTCACAATTTTAGGAGCTAATATGGAATAGCTCAATATCTGCGCTCTTGGGGTCCGTAAAGGCGACCATCACCCTTCTTGTGTATAGGTATCCTTGATTTCCTATAGAAGTAGAAACCGTATATGGTGCAGTACCGTAATTATTTTTAATGTGAGATAAATATAAAATATAATACTCACAAAATTAGAGCCATCCAGATCGGCTCTAATCCACACACTTGTGTAGTTAAGGACCACACACCTTCTTTGAAAAATAAAAAATAGCAGGGAAATGCCAATATATAATATAAAAAAGTAGTAATTTTATTGTAACGATAAATGTATAAAAAAAAAAAATATATATATATATATATATATATATATATATATATATATATATATATAATCAATGAAGGAGCACTCCAAGGGATTTTTCAAATTAGTTTATAATCCGGTGTTGAAAAAATCAGTCATCAACGTTTCGACCCAGTGGGGTCTTTATCAAGATATCAACAACCTCAAATTAATTTGCATATATACAAAAATACAAATGAATCTAACTTACCCCACCTGAGAAGTGAAGCCCGCTCACCAAGTGCCGCCGAGTAGTGCGCATGCGTAGTGACGTCACCGGGACGTACACTTGGAAGTATGATCGGTATTTGTCTCTATTATATATGGATTTTATATGATCGGATCACATGTGTTTAAGACTCTGAGGTGTACTAGGTCTTATTTCTTTTCTATTCTCCTTCTTTCACTTTTTTAAGATGTATATGTCTATTCATACACTTCTCTTTGCTTTTTCACATATCACGTTTTTGTCTCTTTTCAGAGGCTCTTATTTGTGTTTTTTCATTCACTTTTTCTCTACACATCCTTGTTTTTATTTCTTATTATCCTCTTATGCTTTTTTTCACTCTTTGCTTCACGTTTTTTTCTCCTAGCTACACTCTGTGTATTTATTTATTTCAATTATGGCTCATCAATATTCGATGACTTTTCCGGTCTGTAGATTCCTATCTTTCCTTTTGCTTTGTTTTTATTGATTCAGGTTTCCATGGACACGCTTGCGGTCCATGGGATCACATGATCACGTTATCACGCACGTACGCACACACGTCATGACGCACCGTCCCGGTGACGTCACTACGCATGCGCACTACTCGGCGGCACTTGGTGAGCGGGCTTCACTTCTCAGGTGGGGTAAGTTAGATTCATTTGTATTTTTGTATATATGCACATTAATTTGAGGTTGTTGTTATCTTGATAAAGACCCCACTGGGTCGAAACGTTGATGACTGATTTTTTTCAACACCGGATTATAAACTAATTTGAAAAATCCCTTGGAGTGCTCCTTCATTGATTATACATACCGAGGCTTGGAAGCACCCGGGTAATTTCTGTACTTTATTTTGGATTTAAAGGACGAGTGCCAGAGTTTGTGTGTGTGTGTGTGTGTGTGTGTGTGTGTGTGTGTGTATATATATATATATATATATATATATATCAAATTGGCATAAAATCCAATAGTCTCACAGTCTGGAGAGACTGTGAGACTATTGGACTTTTGGATTTTATGCCAATTTGATATTGCTTTTTATTGTTTTATATATATATATATATATTTTTATACATTTATCGTTACAATAAAATTACTACTATAATTACTCTATAACGGACTTTATTATACAGTTTGCACTATGTTTGGTTTGTCTGTTTTTTATGTCTTGTAGAATTTATACTCTTATGTGAATATAAAGACATAAAGAATATTCAAGGTAGTATTGTTGTATACCAAGTTTTCTATTACTACCCTTTATCTGTAAATATAGCGCTACACAACAAGAGTTTTTGGGTTACTATCAAATATATCCAGCAACAGCACGAAATACTGAGATTTGTTTTTGTATCTGTCTAAAAATAATTAACGTGTACTCAAAGCACTATTACAACTTGCTCTGCTGCGCCTTTTTATTTTTAAAATGTTTCAATCCAGAGAATAAATTCTCCCTATTTATGTTGTCACAGAGCATCCCTGCAGCTATACATATTGGAGCAGTATCTCTATATCTGGAATGCAGGCCAGAGAAGATTGGAAAACGTAATTCCTATCATGCTCAGTAAGCTTCTAGTTGAGATTTATGGAAGTTAAAATGTATATGATGTAATGGATAGTGAGTCAATAATTTTCCAAGCAGCATATGTCTAATATTATGCCAATCCTCCTCATGGTTGAGTCTGATAAGAGTTTTAGTCTTCAATAGGGAAGCTGGGTGGATGTAAATTAAAAAAAATTAAAAATAATAATAATTTAAGAGTGTTGGGGGAAATGAGTGTCTGTCTGTCAGTGAGTGTGTCTGGCAGTAAGTGTATTCATCTGTCAGTGAGTATTGACTGCTATTTTGGTGTTAAGAAGGAATTTTTTCCTAGTTTGTTGCAAAATTGGAAGCGCTACAGACTGGGTTTTTTGCTTTTTTTGGATCAACAGCAAAACCATATGTGAGGAAGGCTGAACTTGATGGACGCAAGTCTCTTTTCAGCATGTAACTATGTGCGTTTGTCAGTGTGTGCATCTGTTAGTGAGTGTGCATCTGTCAGTGTGTGCCTGAATAATAGTATGTGTCTGTCAGTGTGTCAAATCAGTGAGTGTTTGAGTGTGTGTCTGTCAGTGTGTCAAATCAGTGAGTGTGTATATCTTTGTTTGTCAGTGTGTGTGTATGTATGTATGTGTGTATATATGTATATATATATATATATATATATATATATATATATATATATATATATATATATATATATATATATATATATATATATATATATATATATATATAGGTAGAAAATAGTGAAAAGCACTCCAGGGACTTTATATAAGGTGAAAAAAAGAACTTAGCTTTATTCGGCAACTGCCAGAAGTGATCAACGTTTCAGCTCACACATGGAGCTTTCGTCATCCTGACGAAAGCTCCATGTGTGAGCTGAAACGTTGATCACTTCTGGCAGTTGCCGAATAAAGCTAAGTTCTTTTTTTCACCTTATATAAAGTCCCTGGAGTGCTTTTCACTATTTTCTACCTATTACTTGTGCCGACAAGCACCGGGCCATATAGATTATCTTACAGGAGTGCAAGCATTGGACAATATTGTGTGTGTGTGTATATATGTGAGTGTGTATATGTATGTATATGTATATGTGTGTGTGTGTCTGTCAGTGAAAGTGTGTGTTGGTTAAACAGTACGTGTGCCAATGACTGTTTGTTTCTTTTAGTGAGTGTATATCAGTGAATGCATCTGTAAGAAAGTGTCTGTCAGTCAAAGTGCGGCCTTAACAGGAAGCACAAATCCAAAATACACTACTGGTTGTACTGGCGTCTGGCAGCTAAAGCACCACCAGGAGCTGAAAAAGATGGAAGGGCATGGCAGTGACTGCAAGGGACATGTTAGGGTAAGTATAACTCTTTCCCCTGCATCCCCAAGCTACCGGACAACCAGCGGCAATGTCACCGTCCAGGTTCTTTGCAAATTATGCAAAGACTACAGACCGGGACAAAGCCATTTTACATATCGATGTTAAACCCATGATTTTTACATGCTTAATTGGTAGCATGTGGAAGTGTGCAAAATGATCGGTATTTTGATGGCATATTATTATTGTGGTTTATAAAGAGATAATATATTGTGGAGCACGGTGTCAGAAAACATATTCCTTAGTACTCTGACTAGCTGGATCCAACCATTCTGTTGTCGAAGCCTTGCTGCTATTCCTTGAGGCGCTTCCTGAGCCAGTGATCTGTTACCAATCTTATGACCAATGCCTGGAGTGTGCTGGAGATTATCCCAACAGCAAAGAGGTAAGCGGGCATTCTCAATTATTTGACTATGAAAACTAAAAAAATCTATTCTTATTATTCACTAAACTTCAGTGAAATACATTTCAATAACCCTTTATATCTTCTAAAACTGGCAAAACAAAACGTCTGTGTAGACTTTGTATCGCAAAGTTGTATTTCCACACAGTCCTCAGAATTCACTGTTGAGTAAATCACCTGAAACAGTGAGAATGAGTCCATTTTATTTTTGGTCATGTGAAAACCTGGTGTCTAGAAAGATTGTACTGTGATTATATATGAGGGCCCATGGTTTAATAAGTAAACTCAAATGAGAATCCAAATCTCATCTGTCATAAACTTGTAAAAAGTCAATAAACAGAACTCCAGTAATTCATATTGTGTATTTTATCTGATATAAATGGACTATGCATTTCTTTTACACTATAATCAATTGCAGCTCTCTGGAATGTATTAAAGCAGGGGTAAGCAACATTTTGGTAGCGCTGTACCAAAGTAAAGTCCCTTCGTCGAGCCGGTCCTATTTTATTTGTTAAAAATGTGAGGAATTCAGCTTGTGTTATGTATGGGTGTGGCAGATCATTTTGCGTTGTATGTTTGCGAAATATATGTATTGTGTGTGTGTGTGTTATGTACAGTGGCAAGAAAGTTATATGAACCCTTTAGAAGGTATTGCATTTATGTATAAATGGTTCTTAAAATCGTGTTTGATGTTCATGTAAGTTAAAGTAATTCTTGTGTGTATTGAATATATCATTCGGAGTTTCACAATGTAGGTTGGAAAAAGTATGGCTAATGACTTGAAAGCTAAATAGATTTCAAAATTGACAAACCTGGTGTTGAATTAATGAAATGAGATTGGAGGTGTGGGCCGTTCAGCCCAGATGACTGAAAATGCATACAACACAATTCTCATTGAGATGAAACGGAAACATAGAGTGACAGCTAAAGATTTAAAGAAATTGTTGGAATTGGTTAACATCACTGTTAATGAATCTACAATATGAAGAACATTGAACAGGCAAGCGTTTCAAAAAAAACACCATTGCCTTTTGAATAAAGGAAGTTTGTGCAGGTTTAATCCTCCAATACCAAAAGTGTTTGGTTGAGGTTACTATTGCCAATGGATGATCTATTCTCTGTCAAATTGAAGTGTTTATTTGCTTTTTTTCTCAGCACTGTGATTGTTTAATGGGATGTGTTCAATAAAACATGAATGATTATAATTGTTTGTGTTTTGTTGGCTTGAGGAAATGTTTGTTTATACTTGTGACTTTGATGAAAATAAAATGTTATGACCAATCCATACAGAAAACAAACTAATTCCAGAGGGTTCATATACTTTGTTGTGCCACTGTGTGTGGGATGACTGTGGTGTTATGTGAGTGAATATATGGGCTGTGTGTAGTGTTGCACATAGCATTCTCCTTTGTGGTAGGGAGTGTGTAAACTGCTTGTTATGCACAGGAGTGTTTTGCTTGTGTTATTCATGAATGTTTGGCTGTCTTTGGTATTTATGAATGTGTATGTGGGCTGTTCATTGCATTTGTTTTTCTGTGTGTGGGGGCTGCCTGATGATTGTGTATATTTTGTGTGTGTATATGTGAGTTGTTTGCAGTATTTGTGTGTAGTGGGGACTGTCTGTGATGTTGCGTGTGTATGTAGGTTGGTTTTTTTAACAGTGTGTGTACTTTCTGAGGTTTTGTGTGTGCTGTCTGTGATGTTAAGTGAGTGTATGTGGGTTAGTTGTAATATTTTTGTATGATGTGGGCTGTCTGTAATATTATATTTGTATGTGGCTTGCCTGTTGTGTTATGAATGTGTGGGGCTGTGTGTGTATGATGGGTGTATGTGGGTTGCTTATAGTATGTGGGGGGTGGATATATCTGGTGTTGTCCACTAAACAAGGATTGGCCATCAGAATTTGGCTTCTTTTAATTTTTATTGTTTAGGGTTGGAAGATCATGTCAGCAATGATTACTTCAACCAAAAATGTTTTTTGGTTGGAATTGTTAACCCTTTAAGTAAAGCAGGGGTAGGCAATCTTCTGCATTACAGATGCGGACTACACCTCCTCCGATGCTTAGCAGCATTATAGCTGTATGAGAATTATGGGAGATGTAGTTCACAACATCTGTCATGTCAAAGGTTGCCTATACCTGGATTAGAGTGATAAAAATGTGAAAATACCATAGTATATATTAAATCTGAGAAACATTCTGTCAGGTCTTATTATTAAGATTGTTATTATTCACGAGGATTTTTGTGTGTGTATTATCTGTGCTACTGTTGATACAATTAATTTATATAATTATCCATGGTAAGCACACATTACATTACAGCATGTTGAAGTGGTTATGATGCCAGAGATGCCCAGATCGGCCGCTAGGCCCCGCCCCCCCCCCTCCTCCCGGCACCATTTTAGCACTGCTGGGCTACTGCTTCACATCCACTGCACCCGGTCATAGCCAACAAGGGACTGTGACTGTGCTCCTCGGCTGAGAGTGTTTAGCTCATATTCTCAGCCAATGAGTGTGGTCCTGCTTTGCTCTAAAGAGCAATCCAGATTATGCGTGGAGTGTTCCTTTAATTTTGTGATTTATCACCATCTAAAAAACACAAAATCCACAATAATAGATAATTTCCATGAATAAACTCTAAATAACCATTGTCTGCAACCCTCCCCTATTTATGATCAAAAGCTTGCCAAGACTTTCAGAATTAAATGGGATTTGTCCAAGTGTTTTATGAAGGGGTTAACTACAGATATTTTCCTTTTAACTAAACCAACAATGCTATCAGGATCTCTTGATTTCATCACTACTGATATCCTCATCATGTGCTCTGTTCTGCAATATCTGATCATTTCAAATTATGTTAATTTCAATTTTAGCCTTAAAGAAAATCACCAACAAAATAGCAATACCCACGACAAATTCAATTTTATGAATTTCACAAGTCACTGAATATTCTTTCATTTTATGTTCTGTATTAAAAAGGATTCAGGGCAAAGTTCTAAAAGCCCACTGTTAGATTCATATACAATTCTTTGTATGCAACTCCTATGAATTTTGCTTTCTTTCCACAATTTGTCATTTTATGGTGTGCATTTAAGCGTTTGCTTCTATACTGATGAAATACTGCATACAATTGGTAACAATAAATTGACCACATTAACATATTTTTCTTGTTTTGCAGGTGATTTCATCTTTACCTTTCCATCACAAAAATGTATTTAATTATTTGACCTCATTTCTACGGGAGCTGCTGAGTAATTCCACACGGAACCACTTGGATATTAACATTTTGGGTAAATAAAAAAAATGTGCATCTCCCATTGTAACTATACATATTTATTTTATTATTAGATGTTCCACAGTGTGCACTAGCACCTTTTGGTTATTATTATTATTTATAATTTGTATAGGTGTGGTGGTTACCTTCATTGGTGTTGTGTAGCTGCACCATAGTGTTCATATTACACTGCTTCTTATTTAAAAATATTTTCAGTGCATCTGTTAATTTGTTTAAAATTGTCTTGTCAGTTATACTCCTTGAAAATTACATAGCATGTCTTTAATTTGTATAGTGTGAACAAAGTTAGGTTGTTTTTTCTGTAAAATTCTACTTGATCTATGCATTATTATTTTTTTTTAATGTATAAAATGTTATTTAGTGTTTGGGGGAGGAAGGGGGGGTCATTAAAGTTATGTTTTTTTTTTTTAATGGATGATAATTTAGTATGAAGTGGATGCTCTGGACAATTGCCTGCCTCTTGAGTTTATTTTCGCTGAGCTAAACAACCAGACCAGGAATTAACAGGACAGCCAGAATGGGAGGGTTTGGTGGTGTAATAAGGTTAATTTATAAAAGTGTCCATTTCTGTTGAAAGCTGCACCTTTTTTTGTTGTTGTTGTTGTTTGTTTTTGTAGAGTGACAAAAAAACAAGCTTCTTAATACCCAAAGCACTTAAGCAAGCTTTAAAGGGACACTATAGTCACCAGTGCAACTACATGTATTCTTGACCATATAGTGTTAACACCACCATCTAGCCCCCCTGGGCCCCTCTTGCCTCCATAAATAGAGTAAAAGTCTTACTGTATTCAAGCCAGAAGCTGTAACTCTGCATGCTGTTTGCCTAAAAAAAAAAAAAAAAAAAACAAGCAGTCTGCTGACATCATCATAAGTAGTAGCCTGATCCAATCACAGTGCTTCCCCATAGGATTGGCTGAGACTGACAAGGAGGCAGATCAGGGGCAGAGCCAGAATGAGTCAAACACAGCCCTGGCCAATCAGCATCTCCTCATAGAGATGAATTGAATCAATGAATCTCTATGAGTAAAGTTCAGTGTCTGCATGCAGTGGGAGGAGATACTGAATCACAGGATGCTCGTGAACAGCAGATCTGAGTGGATGGAGGCATACCAAAGTCCCTCTGGTTCACTGTGACTGCAACTGGAGGTGTTATTAGCTTTCAATGTAAACACTGTATTTTCTCAGAAAATACAGTGTTTACATGAGAAAGGCTGCAGGGAGCTATAGTTCTCACCTGAACAACCTCAGTAAGCTGAAGTTGTTCAGGTGACTATAGTGTCCCTTTTGGGGTCTGAAGTGTCCGTTTAAGCTTTATTGGGATAGACTTTAAAGGGACACTTCAGACCCCCAAAACACTTCAGCTTGATTTTTTTTTTTTAGAAGTAGTTATTGGCACTTTTATAAACTTACCTTGTTACACCGACCTTGCTGTCAATCAAACAACCAGTCCTGTTACTTCCTGGTTTGGTTAGCTCAATGGAGCTAAAATTAAGAGGAATACAATTGCTACAAGCACTTGTCTTGCAAAGATTTCTCACTGGGCTGCTAGGAAGTCTGTGATTGAACAGCTACAGAAAGTCTGTGGTGGGGAAGAAGGGCGGTGGGGCGTGCAAAGGCCTCAGGAAAGAGATCAACAGTTTTTGCAAGCTGTTTTTAGAAATACCTTTTAATGGGGAAAAAGAATCATAATTAAATGTATGCATGTTTGTTTTTTTTATTTGTTGCATACCTTCTAAACCGTGATTTTTATATTTGAAATTGGGCAATGGAGTGTTCCTTTTAATGTTTCCATGTATGTGCCCCTCCCTCCCTACTTATTATAACCCTGATCAGCATCTTTATAGCAGAAACAAAAATACCTATTCATAAATTGGATGTTTAAAGACTGACTAATGTGGTTATGGTGTCTGGTGTCCATGGGCAAAGGGTTCCGCAACACTGCTGATTTACTCACTGTTTAGAAATAATTGGTTCCCTGCAGCTTAGCCTCCTGTTACGATATTGCGGAGGTGCAGTTATGGCTACCACCTTGCACCATACCAATCCATACCAGGGATTGGGACAGTGATTAGCTGAGAGTACTCAGCAGAAGCTCTCAGCTCATTACTGCCTGGACCTCTGGTATGGCATGAAGCAAAGCATAGCTTTGCCTCTGCAATTTCATCAGAGGATGGGCTGGCCGCTGCTGTGGGCCGAGCTTCTCTGCTAAGCTGTGAGTATACCATTTAGCAGTGATGTGCCCATGGATCTAAAGCACCATAACCACTTAAATAAATGGAAGTGATTGTAATGCCTACAGTGTCTCTTTAAAAAGAAAACAAAAAGTAAATATTTTATGTCTTGAGACTGTTGAAGAATAGTGTTGCATGAATGAGTGTGTGTGTGTGTGTGTGTGTGTATATATGTACGAGTCCTGTAAGTGATCTCCATGGAGGTATGAATATATAGATATACATACACGTGTGTTTATATATCATCTGAGGTGGTAAGACATAGCCTTACATATTACATGTGACAATACATGGCGCAATGACTTATGGGGCTGGCATAGATTTTTTTTCCAGGGCTGCTTTGTATCCCCAGTAAAATCGTTTTACATATCGGGACATATCCACAATCACCTGTACTGTAGCAGGTCTTAAAATTGGGTAACTGCAACCTCAGATGAACAACTACACATGGCATATTACTTGTCCAGGGCCGGACTGGGGATACAAAGCAGCCCTGGAAAAAAATCTATGCCAGCCCCATAAGTCATTGCGCCATGTATTGTCACATGTAATATGTAAGGCTATGTCTTACCACCTCAGATGATATATAAACACACGTGTATGTATATCTATATATTCATACCTCCATGGAGATCACTTACAGGACTCGTAATAGTGGTAAGATGCTTTTATTCAGCAAATATTCATAAACAAATAATGTTGACGTTCCAGTCCAACTGGACTTTTCTCAAGACCTGGCTCACTGACAGACAATCTCACTGACACGCACAAACAAGCTTATTGGTATACACGCACAAACTTACTACAGACAAGCTCACTGACACACACGATCCATACAGAAAAGCTCACTGACACAAACAAGCTCACTAAGGAAAAACTCATTGACACACACATGCTCACCACAGACAAACTCACTGACACACACACACACACACGCGCTTACTACAGACAAGCTAACTGACACACAGCCTCACTACACACATGCTCCCTACAGAAAAGCTCACTGGAAACACACATGTTCTCTACCAAAAAAGCTCACTGACACACATGCTCACCACAGACAAGCTCATTGACACACACATGCTCCCTACAGAAAAGCTCACTCGCACATGCTTACTGCAGATAAGCTCACTGACGCGCACACACACATGCTCACTACAGATAAGCTCACTCACACACATACAAGCTCACTCATTAGCAGACACATGCGCGCACACACACACACACAAACAAGCTCACACCCCCTATCACTGTAATGGCTGAAGCTTACCTGCCACTGGTAGGTGAAGTTGCCATTTTGTGGCCTCTTCCAGCGAGGTGTGGGGCGCAGCTTGTGTGTGGTAGGCAGAACTTCCGTACAGAAGGTGGGAGTTATATGCCGGGGCGGGGCATGCTGCTGAAATTTATGTAAACTGACCAGTCTCCCTCCGGCTGCCAGCAGCCTAATTGTGGCCGCACCAGCCTCAGCTCCTCCCTCTTTACTCCCCTCGGACTGACACAGGCTGGCACAGTCTGAGGGACAAAAATTTTAAATGACATTAGCCTCATGATTTGGGCTGTCTACCAGGCCCGAGGTGCCGCTGCCTACCGGGAGATTTCCAGGTATCCCGGTGGGCCAGTCCGGTCCTGACCGTGTCATGATTTATTTAACAAAATTAAGCCAAAATGTAGAAGTCCTGATCTGTAAAACTAAAGAATTCAAACAATGTGTACTTTATTTTTCCCATGACTGTAATATATAAATTTATATAAAATTGTAAATAAGGATAACCTAATACCTAATTAGCGTATACCACTTTATTATAATGCTAGATGTCTTTTTTTTACTCCTAGCAAGTATATTTGGAAATCTACTTCTTCGACCCCCACCTACCCATACACAACCCAGCAACACGGACAAGAGGAAGTGTCAGGAATTCATTCAGCAGTTCCTCCTGCATGGGCAAAGTACATGATCTTGGGTTTTTATGTATCGAGTCATTTTCAGGACTCCAAACAAAGTTTTTTTCCCCACTACAGAAGAAAGTGTCTGCCAGGTCTATGTCTGTAATTTGACATGTGACCTGAAATAAGCACAAGAACAGTGTCTGTCTTTTGAACTTAGTGCATAGCCATTGATTAGATTCTGTACTGTAAATTCACATGCAATACATAGTTTACTCAATAAACCACTGTTTATAGTTAAAGTAACCCTTGCTGGCATGGTCCCATAAAAAAAAAAAATAGAGAAAGAAATAAAAGTGTAACTTACCTGCGATCCCACGCTGGGCCACTTTTTCCATGTAGCTTGCTCCACTTTTGGTGATGTCACTCTCGCTTACTGCAGAAGAGGGATGTCCACAAGGATGGGTTAAGGAGATGACTTGAATGCGCAGAGGGCCATGTCACCAGTGGACATCTGTGCTAGCATATTATGCATGCTAACGGCAGATGCCCAATATGAACAGAATTAACATTAGCCAACCCAGAACTCGTGTCAGGCTGGCTAATGAAGTTATACCTCTTGCAGCAAAGTCCTTTCACTCTGTATGTACAGTGTTCTACTGAGAAATGCTGCACATGAAGACTCAAAGCACCATGACCATTTAAAATCTCTAAAGAAGTCATGGTGCTTGGAGCAACCATAATAATATTGGCCTCTTTGGTCTAACCCACTTATCATGAGATAAAGATACAGCTAATCACCTGTTTCTTTAACATGCTATGTGCTTGCATTGTTCTTGGATATGTGCATTTTGAAATTTAATGAGCTGTCAAGATTAATAAGCTGCTAATGGTTTATTAGTGTATTAATTGTTGAACTTGGAGAAGTGTTTGTATTCTTGTGATGTGCAGTAGATGTACAACACTGTGCCCCATTTTGGAAAATCATAGTTTGAATTTGCGGCACTTAATGATATGGTAATCCTTTAAATAACCCCAAGCAAATGTAAAATGTATTTTGTTTTCTTCCGTAAAATTAATAATTTATTTGGGGGATCAGTGCCAGCAATGTTATTTATACAATATTAAAAAAATTATCCATCACAATATTTGGATTGCAGAAGGCTCATAGGAAGTAGTAATCTTTTTAGTGGTCAAATACAGTTTTTATTTTTTATTTTATTTTTAAAGCAACTCTATGTAATCGGGTAAGACATTTATTTTATCATGTGGTCAAAGACCATCTGCTGGTTATTAAAGTCCAATTAAAATCTGAATCACAGTATTTTGATCATTCAGCAATTACCAGAATAGTTATTATCTGTGGGCATTTCAGTACATTCTACATATCATGTGGACAAGACTGAATTAGTTCTATAGTTACCCTAAAGTTACCTTAAAGTAGCACTGTCAATTGAAATGTTCTACTTATACAGCACTTTAAAAACAATTTATATCTTGTGCAGACCATTCTGCATAGTAGTTTTCTTAATAAATATTTAAGAAACAGTTTCACATTAACCTTTGCTATTATTAGTTACATTGTGGGCACTTCTCTTAATTGAAGTTCAAACACCATATTCCACTTCCTTTCCTGCTAATAGCTACTTGGTAAATCTGATTCTGGTTGGATGCTGACATCACAAGCTCTATGCAGATGTTCTCCAATGTAAGATGCTATTCTAGGATAGCCAACTCAACACTGACAACTGGCAGGTCTGGGAATTACACCTAAATTTATAAGAGGACTGGCACTTCCCCGAATTTTAACATATCCACTCCAGTTAATAATGATGTATTTGTGAGTTCTGAAAATGAAATTAAATGTAGGAATCCCCACACCTCTTTATCTTTAACTAGGTACCTCCATCTTGACTCAGTCGGTGTAAAGAAAGCATACAGACAAGAAACAATGATTGCATTTCTCATCCTCCAGTGTGTATGGATACAACTGGAGTATGATGTGATTTTCCAAATATTTAGTATAAATATGGATAAAAATCACGTTAACCCTCTTTTTTTTTTTTTACATTTTAAATGTTTTGTTTAATTGTGTAACTTCCAGAGAAGTAGTAATTCCATGTTAAAACCACGATTTTGGTAAAAATATTAGAGATATTTTTTCCAATTGATTAAAGTACATTTTAGTGACAGTGCCACTTTAAAATCTACACCACAGACCTACTTGATTGATACTGGCGGTAAGGAAGTGCTTTGATGAGCCAGTAACCTCTTACATTTAAAGTAAATACTATTTTTATGCATATATAGTATATATTTTTCAGTTGTAAACATTGTTAATGTAAAATTCTTTGTACAAAGTGTTTTAGATATTTCCAGACAATTGTATTTTTTATTGTGAATATAGATTTTATAAATGCTTTATCGACCACTCAGTCTAGTTTTAACTACTGTACAATTATATTTCTATCTTTGAGTAAGTGGATTTACATTTTTTTTGTATGAAGATTTTATTTAATGTGTTAATTTTTTTATGTGTTTATGTTAATACATATCAAGAAATTATTTTAAAATTCAATTTTGATATCTACAAATATGTCTTAATAAATATGAACAATGTTTTATTGTCTCAGTGTTATTATAGCTGTCATGTGCTATCCTAATAGTCCATTCCTGACATTAAGATGTTTCATGCTGTCCTCCACAGAGTGGGATTTAACGCTGTTAGGACAGAATGGAACATGTGAGCACGGTTATAAATATAATCATTTATCATCATTTATTTATGTTAAAGAAACCCTTGTCTATCAATGTATAATACATACCTTCCAAAGTTTTAAATGAACAAAAGAGCAACACTTTAATTTTTGTGGTGTGAGTGAAGGTATGACCAAGGGCAGGACTGTCTTGAGACATTTTAGGTGACTTACAAATAATAATGTATTTAACTAAACTGTTATTTAGAACACTATCAGTGTGTTTCCTATTTACACAGACTCATTTATTGTAGTTTACTATGAGTATTATTGCTGTGGAGTTCACAGACAAACAAACAGTATGGAGCTCGTAGAGAAGAGAGAAGGATAGAAAAGATGGACAGATGGATTTGGACCCAAAATAGTGACTGTTCCTCTTAAACATGGACATGTGTGAATTGTGTACAATATGTATGTATGGGAGCATTTAAAGAAAAAAAACTAATTATATTGGAATTAACACATGACACTTGGGTTTTACAAAAAAAAGCCTGAATTTAATATCATATCCAGGCTCTTATATCAATAGTTTGGGATAGAAGCATTTCCCAGATCTATTCTAATGGGGATCAAGACCAACCTAAATTGGACGCCACCGGCCTAGGGTACTTTACTTGTGTCACTAGTCTGCTTTGTTCAATAGACAAAGTAAAGACTCACTGAGCAAATCTTGAAAGTTTGTGTGGTTTCCTCTGTACCACATATTGTAATGATATTGATGTTACAAAGTTTTGGAGTCCAGTAGCCAGATCAGCAATGTTTTCTGCCAGAGGTAGCCACTCGTTACCCAGGTGGTTGAGCCCCTGAGCCTTGAGTGGCCTTCTGGTCTTAAGCAGAGATGGGAGACTGGAACAGAAAGATGATAATCGTAGTGAGGCAAGCCGAGGTCAGTGGGAAGGAGAAGCAGCAAAGTCAAAACAGTCCAAATTCAGCAACAGGAAGGAGAAACAGGAACACGCTGGATTAGAGAGTACAGGAACCACAATAATCTGGCAAAGGTACAGAGACAGGAAGTGGCTTTTATAGGCCAAGAACCAGACACCTGACCAGACACAGCTGAAGAGTTGTCACTGTTAACCTTGACTCTACAAGCAATGGCAAAAGGCAGGCTGGTGTACTGGTAAGGAAGAGGTTTAGCACCATGTAAACCAGGTTTCGAAACCCAGCAGAGTCAGTTCCTCACACATCTACTGGTTGTACATCCAGCCAGTAACAATACAGGGAGGGACAGCTGCAGGGCGTACAAATAACTTGGCTCTCAGGGCTTATTTTTTAATTTATTTTTTCCTTTCAGCCATCCAGAGTGGAGGGTGCTGATTTATTTGCATTAGAAATTTTAAACGTATTGTAAGGATACCCCAGGCATTACAAGCTTTATATTTATTACTGTTCAGTACTGAGAGCGGGAACAAGGGGCATACCTAGAGCATTTGGGACCCGGGACCGACCCTGTATTTTGCTCACCCCCAAATCACTTTACCTCTGGCCGGTCACCCTGTGATACCTATCCGCCATATGCCAGAAATTGGCAATCCCCGGTCAGTGGCACCCAGGGCGGACAGTCCTCCTCCTACCTCCCGCTTTCCCCACTTACTATGCCACTGGGGAGGGGGGACGATGACTGTAATATTTGCTTTAGATTCATGGCCCCCTATTATAACTAAATATTTTCTGCTGAGAACATCAGTTGTGATGCTCCAATCCATTCCTTCCCATAGAAAAGCATCCAGTGCGTGATGACAGAAAACATGAAACCCTTATATTTTTTTTAAGGTCTTAAAGCGGCACTGTCATGCGAAACTCCTCTCTCAGAAGAAAAGTAGGTAGGGCTATAAGACAAAGTAGGTAGGGATTACTTTGTCTTATGTATTTTTCCTACACCTGACTTTCACTGACAAAAAATGAGCTTAAAGGACCACTATAGGCACCCAGACCACTTCAGCTTAATGAAGTGGTCTGGGTGCCAGGTCCATCTAGGATTAACACTGCCTGCAGTAAACATAGCAGTTTCAGAGAAACTGCTATGTTTACCTATGGCTTAATCCAGCCTCTAGTGGCTGTCTCATTGATAGCCGCTAGAGGCGCTTCCGCGCTTCTCACTGTGATTTTCACAGTGAGAAGACGCCAGCGTCCATAGGAAAGCATTGAGAATTCCTTCCTATGGACTGGCTGAATGCGCGCGCGGCTCTTGCGCATTCAGCCGATGATGACCAAAGGAGGAGGAGAGTCCCCAGTGCCGAGGGAGCCTGGCGCTGGAGAAAGGTGAGTGTTTAACCCCCTTACTCCACCTTCAGCCAGGCGGGAGTGGGACCCTGAGGGTGGGGGCACCCTGCGGGCACTATAGTGGTCCTTTAAGTCAGCTCCATTTCCTGTGTCAGAGAAAGATTTTTCACAATACTCACCCTCCTCCTGACACAGGAAATTGAGCGGACTTAAGCTTCTCCTTTGATCAAAGAGAGTCAAGCGTAGGAAAAATACATAAAACAAAGTATTCCATACTTTATCTTATGTTTTAATGAAAACTAGATCAGCAATAATGAAAAGAACA